ATCAGGGTCTGTAAGACAGACTAGTATTTCCAGTTCCTCGCCTCCAGCATATCATTAAAACCCACGGGTTCAACCTGCCTTTGTTCAATTTCCCGCCATTTCTATTTTTAGAACCGGACAACGTCTTCATTTCCCTACTTTCCAGAAATCATCGTCTCAGTATTTGCGCATACTAAACAAAATTCCACTTTAGTAAAATTCGTCATCGCTCGCGTAGTTAACTGGCCCAGGAATAACACCAGTTTCGAGAATACTTTGGAATGTTTTATATACATGTTGGTGATTCGTTTAGACTCGAAAATCTATTGGGCATTCAAATTGACTTTTGAGATTTCGTTTCCAAATATCCCGCAAACTCGGTCCCAGGTGTTTGAAACAAACGGTTGGGGATTTGTTTATTCTATATTTTTTCAATAAAAAAATAAATAAACAGGAAAAGACTATTCCTTTACACACTGCAGAGACCATATAATAGATTATATAATATTATATGGTCTCTGCACACTGTAGATATATGCATGTTCAATTATTATTCGAAGTAACGATTGATCGTTTCCAGATTTAATTAGGGATTTTTACATGTGCATTGTGAAACAAGCTCAGTTCGCAGCTAATCCTCCGCCATGAACAATAAGTAATAAAATATGCTCTAAGGTATTACGTCATTTTTGTCAATAGCGACATTAGTCTTCCTTTGAATATTTAATTAATGAATTCATTAGCTGGTAGTCAGATTGTTCTAATTAGCGCGCAGTCGCGGTGAATGGCTGCTCTCACCATTGCACATTCATAAGCTGCATCTCGGGGCAATAAGTATACAAATCCTGAATGCTTATTAACGGCAAAAGATTTGTCGCGTAGCAACACGGGCTAAATTACTGAAGAGAAACGTGATTATTTTACTTGTTCGTGTTGTACTATATACCACTAACTTAGTTTTAGTTCATCTATATTCCTGGGAATTGGGAACACAGGTCGACTTGTAGACTAAATAGTTAGAAAAAGATAGGACATTTAGGTATAGCAATTTATTAATTTTAAGACTTTTTTAAATGGTATTCTACAAATATATGTTCGCCGAAGAGATAAACCCTGCCGAGCTTTGTTCATATTTTCTCGATGTTAATATAAAAAATCCGAATGAAAACCTCCAGATTCTAGCTGGTATAGCTAAAGGATTTTCATTGTATATATGAGTGTTCCACAACTTCGTTACGAACGTACAGATGCCGCGTACGTATAGTCAATTACATAATGTTATGCGAGTAGCCCCTAGGCGTATTCAGTGATAACAGTGGCAATAATGTAATTCTCGGCATGAACCGACCTGGCCGTGCATGTATCAATACGTGACGTCAAGACTGCATGCTCATCTGTGGCCCGATGTGCCCCCAGCAATACAAATTCAGCGACTGTTAAATATTCCCTGAAACCCAGTTTTTTTGTCACCCGAGGCATACATCGCCCCATACACATAATTATCATCAAGCAAAATATTCAACAAATCAGGTAAAAGAAACCCGCGGTTGAATAACGGGATCTGGCGGTCAGGCTCGCTTACTTGGTTGATGCATGTCATCGTATCCCACTTGCGTAGATCGATGCTCATAATGTCAGTTACCGGATAAGAAAGAGAATTTATGGTTGTCAACTTCTTTATTATGAGGAACACAACGTTTCGGAGTATCATCAGGTGAATGAATGAATATCAGGATTGTCTTTTCCAGACTGGATTATTTACAGATCGCCGTCTGCTGAGTGCGGCGTTAACAACACAGAGACACAGTCATACACATATATATCGCCATTATTGAGGTTCATCATGAGTGTGTGTGTGTGTATATACACACATGTGGGATAAATATACCATAGTGGATCCAGAGTGGGGTCCGGACCATTACCCCCCCCCCCCCCCCCCCCCCCCCCCCCCGACACACACACCTTGAAAACCAAATGTAGTATTGTATGTTGTAGGCAGTAAATTATCTGAGAGGGGTATTTTGATATTTGGGCCCATTCCCTATTAAAAATGCTGCATCCGCCCTTGTATACATTAAACTTAATTATTATGAACATATAATAGCAATAGCATGTACTATATTTTATACTCATTGCATCATACATGTAAAAATATAATTTTTTGCATGACAGTATGCATAAATTTATATTGGGTTGAAATTAACTTATATGGTAGGTGCAAGGGATACACGTTGGCAGACATGTCGGTTTGTGTGCTTTTGTGTTGTTTTGTTGATTTGGTAATTGCTACTTGAGAATATTTGACTAAAAGATGAAAATGCCGCTTCCGATTATGATTAATAACTATAGCTTAACCTGGAGGTATAGCTGTATACTTGATGGGTTGCCGTTAGCCTTGGGTTATTGTAAATATGGCTCGTGTTGGGATTTGTTTCCTTAAAACATGGAGTTATTGTGACTCGTACGAAGTTGCTTGTTTTCATTTCCGTGTGGTTATTTTGGAGAAGGGATTTGTTTGATGTTACTGTTGATGTTTCGGTATTAACAACGCGCACGCTGCCCGTGTCTTACACGCGCGACGTTCATTAGGGTTCGATTGCCTCACCTGAAACATGACGGATTAAGTCTTATATTTTATGACTTAATCCGTGCCATGTGAGGGATAAACAACAGTAATTATTCAGAAGTGACATAATTGCACAGTTCATTTAGGGTGTCTGACAGTAATGTACAATACAATGGGGGTAGCATCTTATAAGCAATGGCAGTTGAGTGTGATTCTAGGCCTATATACATGGCTGCATTGCAAATAAACGTCTTCCTGAATCGGTCGCGGTATGTGTCAGTGTCCATTTTGTGGAAGCCTCGGTAGCTGAGTGGGTTAGGTAGCCTAGCTACTGTGCGTGCTAGCGATGGGCCTAGATTTTCGAAACGATCTTAGCCCTAAAATTATCGTAAAGTTATCGTAAGGAAATCGTAGGCTATCGTAGCCTATTTTCGAAACTATCGTAGCCCTAAGATATCTTAAGTTGGTCGTAAATCTAAGATAGCCCTATACCTGTCGTAAGTTTATTTTATCCTCATCCAAGATGGCGGTATACTTTGCTCTGGACATTTTACATGATGAAGATGACAATGATTTGATGACAAGACGGAGGATATTCCGAGACAGAGCTCGTCCCCTCAAGGGGGCACGGGTGGCCCAGTCGTCTAAGGCGCCGCGATTCGCTGTGAAGAGTTGCGTCCCTTGGGCACGCCAGAAACCTATGATTGTGGGTTCGAATCCCGGTTCGCTCCAATTATGTTTGTAGGTTTGTCAGCACCATACCCGTGCTCGTGGGTTTCACCGAAGTGGTAAACGTCTGAGACCTGCATCACTTCGGGCTTTCCTCCCACATTAAGCTGACACGCCATGATATAACTGGAATACTGTTAAAAGCGGCGTTAAACCCAACTCACTCACTCACTCGTCCCCTCGATACGCTTGACCACTTCGAGCTATTCTCCCGCAACAGATATAGGTGTCGTAGCTCTGAGCGATCTGCGACAGGTTTTCGATTGTTTCGAAAATCTATCTTATCTTAGCCTTAAAGATATCTTATCTTTCAGCGTAAGTAGTTAAGATTTATCTTAGCTAAGATCGTTTCGAAAATCTAGGCCCAGAGGTGCCTGGCTGTGAGAGTGTGGGTTCGAATTCTAGATGGGACTCTACCCCCCACCCCCCAAAGTGCTAGAATTTGCTCTTTATTAAGAAAGTGTAATCCCAAATATAACATTTGTGACAGCTAGTATATCTAATATCGGTATAATGACGGAGTGTTTGCTGAAGGAGGTTAAATTGGCACCAATATTCCATGCCAATCGATCGCTGTTAGTCTGTCTTACAGACCCTGATACAAATATATCAACTACAGCCCATGCAAGTCTATAATGTTTGGCAAGTCTAAATGAAAATGAAGAGAATCACTGGGCTCCCTTTTTATTATATTTTTATTAAGATAACTGAACAACTGTTTTTTTTTGTACGATATGTTCATTTCAGAAACTATATGTTAGTCTAGATCGCTGTCCGAGGAAACAATACAGAACGGCCAAGCATAGACGTAACGGCCAGTAAAGAAACACCCAAAACGACCACGTGTTAATAGAGTATGATGTAGACAACATACTACCACACATCTGTCGTGGACAATGCTGGTATACTCAGATGAGAACGAAGTGCATGCATATGTGCTGTTTAGTACTGTATGCATTATATACAAGCGTGTTCACTGACCATGCGTGGCAATTTCTGTAAAGCTAATAAACCACATTCATCAATATTCCAACTTCAGTGTTTTAAGCATGGTGTAATATATATCACAGTTAAATTGATAAAAATCTAGATATAAAAACTCAGATTTGATGAAATATTGTTATTTCACAATATCACGAGTGTATTACAATAATTGCAAGATATATGTGGTCTATAAACCTTAATGTATGCGAGTTGAAAAAATGTTTCAGCTGTGAAACGTTTCAAATAAGATACGATACGACCCGTGAAGATCCGGGGTGGAATAGGTCCTCAGCAACCCATACTTGCCTTAAAAGGTGACTTTACTTTGTCGTAAGAGGCAATTAACGGGATCGGGTGGTCAAGCTCGCTGACTTGGTTGATGCATGTCATCGTATCCCAATAGTGTGGATTGACTCTCATGATATTAATCACTGGATTGTCACTGGATATATACAGACTGTCGTCATATAGCTGGAATGTTGCTGAGTGCGACGTAAACAACAAACAGAACAAAACATAATACGGTAAAGATATAATTCTTGGATTCTGAATATGAACCAATATTATACGCCCTCATTTCTGTCAACTACACATGAAATACACCACAAAGCAAAACTGAAATCTTATTAAAACGTGATAATGTAAAGCGCGTCTCTCCCTCAACACCGACACAAGCTGCTGAATATTCATGACATTAAACATGCATGACCTCTGTGTCAGCAACCGCGGGAGAACTTGTACCATGTGACCAAATTTCGCGGGAAACAGGCTTTGTGTACACCTCGCCTGAGAGAAGTTGTGATCTATCGCCATGGATGTCGCTGATCAGGCTGTTAGGACGAACCAAGTCAAAGATCAAGTTGGAGAGAGATGTCAAAAGTTATTTCAGGACTTTCTAGAAGAGTGAGTATATCTGAACCCAAAACACACACACATATGCGACATTTTGCCAATGACTCTAGCCTAAGTTATTACCAAAGTTTTCGATCTCGACTCCGATCAAGTAGTCATGCACCACCAGCTGATATTTAGCCGATATTTATATATTGGTGTGCGAGAAAAAAGTTGTGGGTATATGGCATGGTAGTGTATGTCAAAAAGTCATGTGCGTTCTAATGTACAATATGTACTATCATCTATGTCCCACCATAACAGTGATCGACCTGTTGAAGGTCCGTCCGAAATATAAAGGCCTAGGTCTAGCTCACCCATGTATATGTGACAGACTTGAGAGCATCTACAAATTCTAAAAAAAACCAAACAATTAGACATGGAGTAAATATTTTATAGCATTGTTACTATTAGATCGCTGATCATTTGAAAAGTTAATGTGCAAAATGTTGGCGCATAATTCTAGGCTACATGCTGGCTATAGCCAGGGTAGACCTTAGCCGTACAGCTAGCATGCTGTAGATCCGTGCTGATGAAGCAGAGCTAGGTCCATCTCCTTGTCTCCAACATCACCTGAGTACATTTCCCAGTGTAGCTACAGTTTTTGAGCTCAAATTGTAATGCTCTTGGACTGAAGAGTATGATCATAATATTGTCTGTTGGTTATGATAGAAGAGATCAACTTGAGTGATTTGCTTGTTTGTTGTTTGAATCTGCGCACAGCAATATTCCAGCTGTATGACTGCCACCAGTAAATAATTGAGTCGAACCAGACAATCCAGTGATCGATCCACTCCGTCAGGTATGATGGCACTCAATCAACCAAGTCCCCAAACCTGACCATCCTGTCCATCCTGTGTGTGTACAATAGTGAAATAAGTGAATGAATGTTGTTTGTCGTCACTGTCTGCAAATTCTGTAGGACCAGCACACGCCCAAATTGGGCGGGGTCGCTAACTATAATAACACTATAAATACTAATAAGGCTTATGTAGAACAAGATTCAATGCTCATGTCAGGTTTTATTGCTGACAACTTAGACCTTTGGAACAAGTATCTCTCACTTGGTATCAGTCAATATATTGATAGATCTCCAGAACAGGAACACAGGCGTTATTAAGCAATTGATTTTAATAGCAACTCTCAGCAAGTATTATTCATGTAATATTCCCCGCTATTCATGTGATATACTCCACTATTTATGATATTCCCCACGAGTCATGTGATATTTCCCACTGTTCATATGATATTAACCACTATTCATGTGATATTCCCCACGAGTCATGTGATATTTCCCACTGTTCATATGATATTAACCACTATTCATGTGATATTCCTAATTTAATGTAATATTCCCCACTAGTCATGTGATATTCTCAATTATTCATGTGATATTCCCCACTTTTCAGGTTTGCGGTTGATGGGGAGGCCAAGTATCTGCCTGAAGTGCAAGAGCTCATCCGCCCTGAGCGCAACACTCTCACTGTCAACTTTGAGGATGTGGAGCGCTACAACCAACAGCTGGCGACAACCGTCCTGGAGGAATACTACAGGTGGGAGGATGCTGCTCTGTCATGTGTATAAACATTGTGAAGTGATTCTTAATTTAAGTGTTGAATTGTTCCTGAATCGTTCTTTACATCCTGTTAAGGTTAGGAATGTTGACGATGGTAGTGGATTGAATTACATCTCATGTTGACAATGTTTTTTCCAATGCCAATCTTCTGTATGATCACAGGGTGTACCCGTACTTGTGCCGGGCACTCAAGAACTACGCCAAGGACTGGGGCCAGATCCCCCCAGCCAAGGAGTTCTATGTCAGCTTCACCGATGTCCCCACACGACTCAAGTGAGTTTACCTGACAACTTGTTTAATTTCTGAAGGATGAAATTGGTATCCATCACTCAATTCAATGTGATAAACATTTGAAATGGAATACTTTCCTTAGCTTGTTGAAAGTACTGCCATACAATCTGGCCTATCGATTGGATATTCCAGGACCCGTGAAGATCCTGGGTAGAACAGGTCTTCAGCAACCCTGTCTTGCTCTAAAAGGCGACTATGCTTGTCGTAAGAGGCGACTGATGAGATCGGGTGGTCAAGCTTGTCGTCGTCATATAGCTGGAATATATCTGAATGCGACGTTAAAACAACAAAGAAAGAAAAGATATCCCAGAGCTTTCTTTTGGTTAGTTTTCAAAGTTTGAATCAAGAATTTGGTCATAATAATTTGTTTTTCAAACTAAATCTGGAATGGAAGTGGCCAATCGAAACTAGTGCCGTAAAGTTTGAAGAAGCTACTTTCTGATGGGAAAATGTCGATTTCTTGTTAGTCATTTCATTGGTCACTCAAAGTTTGTTTAAGGTTGTCACCTGTAATGACATGTCTTTCGACCTTTGGTGTAATAGCGAGCACTAAATTCTGATTTTGATGTGATTGTCCAAGATCAGTGTAATGACTGCCTTGTTTACCTTGCAGTGTGTCGCCTTACAGCGATACCTGAGTGAATACGACTTTTAAACTATCGCTAAGAGCCCGGTGTCTACTAGGACTCTGTGCTTGTAGTGCTGCTACTCTTCCCTCGCTATTCAGTAGATGCTGATTGTCCTCCTTGATTACAGAGTACGGGAGATGACTACAGCCAAGATCGGGACTATGCTGCGGATCACAGGTCAAGTCGTTAGAACCCACCCAGTCCATCCAGAACTTGTGTCCGGAACATTCATGTGTCTGGACTGTAGAACTGTCATGAAGGATGTAGAGCAGCAGTTTAAATACACACAGGTATGGACAATTTGACCCACCATGATTTACAAGTGAGTTTATGATGGATATAGGTTGTTAAAATTAAGTGTATTCATTAGCTGCTCAACAAACCAGAGACAAACAATGTGACATGCTGAAAAGATTTCCCACCTTCTCAGTCTGTGCCAAAGCTTTTGTGTCGAATACCCGAACCTATCACCTGACAATGTTTTCAGTAGATTTTAGTGTTTATGTATGGACTTTTATGAGCAGGGCTTTTTTTTTTGACTCAGAACTTTTTTCTTTATCACAAATTTTAAGAAGCATTCTGAAATTGTTCAGACTGAATAGATCTGAAACCAGTAGTATAACTAGTTGTTTCAAGCTTTTGAAGTACTATCTTAATTAAGTGGAGATAACTCTTACTTGCAGCCAACCATTTGCCGGAATCCAGTTTGCAACAACCGGACACGTTTCATGCTGGATGTGAACAAATCTCGCTTCGTAGACTTCCAGAAAGTCCGGATTCAGGAGACACAGGCGGAACTTCCCCGCGGAAGCATCCCCAGAAGGTACGAGCCACACACTGTGTTGCATGTTCAGTGAAATACTGACTGTCCATTTGACACTGATTGGGTACAACACCTCTTTTGTATCCGACCACCTCCATTGTGTAGTGGATAGAGCGTTTGCCCGGAGAGAAGAAGGTTGATGTTTCGATCCCTAGCCACATCATACTAAAAGAGATAGTTCTTGTTCCCTGCCTTTATGACTTTTGGCACTATTAAATAACAGCATAAGCTCATCCTTCTACAAGCAACCACATACACACATGCACGATGCTGCATAGACGTGCAATAATCTTGAACACGATGTTCAACCCCATTTCACCTTGTATCAACAGACCGATTAAGAGGAGGTACTAGGGCTGGGACGAGTCCAAATTTACTACCCGGGTACCCAACCCCCTATTACCGGACCCTACCCAGGTACCCACTGTAGGTCTCAAGCGTTGGGAACACAATGTCTAACTGGAAATAGTTTAACTGTAGCCCTTGCAAAAACTGTTTAGATACATGTTTGAAACCAGAGACCATATAATAGATATATGGTCTCCTATGAAACGATAAAATCATGCGTACACTGAAGTTGACTGAAGCTTTATCTTTACTCAAACATATACAAGTCAAGAGGAATGTGTGCATCATCAGAAAGAAATGGGAACATTAGCAACTTGTAGTGTAACCACTGAGCTCCAGTGAGTTTTTGTCATTAAACAATATGTCTCGTGACTAACTACGGGTCCGGGTAGTACTGTGGGTACCCAGGTCCTACTCAGGACCCACCCGACCCGAGTACCCGAGTTACCCGTCCCAGCCCTAGTAGGTACTATCCTGTGTGTACGCTGAACAATATGGTGGGAGGACTGTTCAAAACTGCTAACGTGATTACACTTTGTAAGTTTATGCCAACATTTCAGTTGTAACAATTTGAGAACTGTAATGGCTTGATGTCACTATGTTTGTCGTGAGAAGCGACAAACGTGATCGGGTGGTCAGGCTCGCTGACTTGGTTCATGCATGTCATCGTATCCCAATTGTGTGGATCGATGCTGATGATGTCAATCACTGGATTGTCTGGTCCAGACTAGATTATTTACAGACCGCCGTCACATAGCTGGAATATTGCTGAGTGCGGCGTTAAACAACAATCAGTCAATCAATGGCTTGATGTCAGTGATGTGTAATATGACGACGTCGGTACTTTTGACTTGAGGAATGACAGCTGTGATCTGTTGTAGCGTGGAGGTGGTGTTACGAGCTGAATCTGTGGAGTCGGCACAGGCCGGCGACCGCTGTGACTTCACCGGCACATTGATCGTGATCCCAGACGTTGGCAGCATGTCCGTCCCAGGTCAGTAGAACCAGGTGTCCCTTGTTGTAGATGCTGAGTATCATCATCGTCACTCCCAGTGTGTAGCTCACCTGAACAGAACTTTGTGAACTGGCTGCTGGAATACTTCGTTTCAGGAACCTTTTGCCTTTTCAAAAACACAAGATTCATGAAGCTAAAACAATTGAAGCACGTATGATCTCAGCCAATGCTCAAATAAATTATCCAGGTGAGCTACACAGAGCCTCTTGAATCATTTGTTGACCACAATCTCAGTAATTACAAGACAGGGATCTATCTAGACCTGCTCACAGGCTCATATTTGCCCCCAAGATTCCTGCAAATGTCAATAAAAAATCCAAATTTGGAACTAATGCTTCGTTTTAAATTATTGCATTAAATTAAAAATACCTTTGAATTTAAAAAAATACAAACTTTCAGAAAATCCCAATTTTGAACAAAATAAATTTTTTGCCTGCCAGGGGCACTTTTTAAAACGCTCACCTAAGGCAGCCTTCCCCATGTTCTAGGTATCCTACAGTAAGAAGACTTTACCTAATAATGAGTTCTTTGTCCTGAATCTATATTAAGTTGCTAAAAATGTCAACGATAGAATATCACAAGTAATAATGTAAAATTCATAACAGCTTAGAATTGAACACCAACATAGGTTGAAAGGTGACCAAATAGATCAGATGGTCTGACTCTGAGACTTGGTGGCATGTCATCGTACCCTGGTGCATGGATCTTTGTTCACAACATCATTCCAGGGTAGAATAGGTCTTCAGCAACCCATGCTTGCCATAAAAGGCGACTATGCTTGTTGTAAGAGGCGACTATGCTTGTTGTAAGAGGCGACTAACGGGATGGGGTGGTCAGGCTTGCTGACTTGGTAGATGCATGTCATCGTATCCAGACAGCGTAGATTGATGTTCATGATGTCAATCACATGATTGTCTGGATGAGATTCAATTATTTACAGGCGCTGTCATATATCTGAAGTATTGCCGAGTGCGGTGTTAAACTACCAAAAAATATTCAAAATAAATCAGCAGTGACTTGCATTTGTAGGTGCTCAATCGGAGACGTCGTCACGGGTACGGGGTAATGATGGCTACGAGACCGAGGGTGTGCGTGGTCTGAAGGCACTCGGGGTGCGGGACCTCACGTACAGACTCTCCTTCCTGGCCTGCACTGTCACACAAAGCAACCCTAGGGTGAGTAGCATCCTCATCCCCTACCAACTACAGGTTATGGATGCAGCAGTCAAAGTTAAAGATAAAAGTCAGTGAGCCCAACGGGTCATTAACTTAACACCAAACGTTTTAGGGATCCCTAGACTGAAATACCTCAAGGGCCTAAGACTCACTTGGCTGATGAATGTTGTCTTATTTATAAACAGGTTTCTATCAAAGCAGAGGTCAGGGAAGGACAGGAGTACGTTGTTATGAGCATATATAGATCACATACAAGACGTTAGAAGTGTGGTGATTCTGTTAAGAGATGTCAGTTTTATGATTGTTACAAATTTAGATCAGGACATTCTCCTATACCAGCCTTAGCATTTTAAATATCTTTAGATTGCAAACACTATGTCCTAGAAAATAAACAGGTGTCAAATTGTTAAGTTGTCTGTTGTGTACAACTGTGTAACTGTTGTCCCCAGTTTGGTGGAAGAAACATGGGAGATGAGGAAATGACGGCCGAGACCATCAAGAAGCAGATGACAGATGAGGAATGGCAGAAAGTCTACGAGATGAGTCAAGATAAAGCTCTGTACCAGAACCTCTGCTCTAGTCTCTTCCCAACAATACACGGTGAGTCTGTCAGAACAATACGATATGGCTATGACAAGTGCAAATGTCCTTAATAACTTTTTAGACTTGGTTGAAGGAAATTAGTTTACTTGGATTGTTAGTGGCGGTACCCTTGATGGGGGTTGTAGTAGTGTAAAATGATTGTCCCCCAGAGAGGGTATGTAAGACCACGTCATTGGGGGTAATTGTTTCCTGACAGCAATTGCCAACACCTGACAGGATGATGTAAAATCAGGCTGGGGTCCCCATGGACAGCATGGTGATCCACCTTCAGCTGCTGGTGATCTATAGCCCTTTTTTATTATGTATTGTTACATATAGGGATATCTATATTGTAGTATGCTAGTTTTAAGTATTAATCTGTGATATTCAATGTCATTAAAATCAGACCTCAGTTCTCACTACCGCTAAACAAAGATCTGAAGACATCCCATTTGGGGTCACGTCAGAACGACCTTTCATCCGACCAATCAGAGCGTCGCTTACCAGATCATGACAGTGACAGTCGGAATGTGATTTCTAATCATACAACCTCGAAAACTTTAACACGGGGTATTCCGTAAGATAGTTAGGGGTTTAACAACTGAATCCATACAATCTAGACCATCTATTAGCCATTCCAGAATGTTCTTTGGTTTAGGTTTTTAGTTTGTAATCGAGAATTTGTCAAAATATGTTTCAAAGCGTAGTCGGCAATTTGAAATTAGTGCCGTAAAGCATGAAAAAGCTGCCTTCTGATTGGTCATTCCATTGGTCAGTCAAAGTTTGCGCAAGGTTGGTCTGACGTGACCCGTAATGGGATGTCCTCAGATCTTTGTTTAGCGGTAATGAGAACTAAGATCTGATTTTAATAAGATTGCTGTGATATTCTACTTATTTTACTGTCCATCAGGTTTTTGTTTATTTAATCTTAATATATGAATTTTCAACTAGGGGTGACTATTGGTCTGGAAATCACAATTGTGATAACTATTGATATCGAAAGAAACTATTGCGATCAGTATTGATAGTTTTCAGTATATCATACTTGAGTTGAATTGAACCTTGGAACTGAAGTTTCCTTTGAATGTGATAACCATAACAACAAAGAAAAAATAAAGTTTGAGATATGACTGATTTGTTTTTTCTTTACCCTCATAATTTAAGAAAAAGAAACTTCCACATTACCATGTGTAAATTACGACCACTCATGATCAATAGAAAAACAAATTTGAACAGCATTGCATGTATTTTATTGATATGGAAAATACAATCGAAACTATCAGTATTCCTAACTAAAATCAATACTATTGATCGAAAACTGATTTAACAATCGATTAATTGACTTTACGTGCTTACCAATAGCAATATATAGATATTTAGATTTTTCGTGACACCCCTATTTTTAATGTATAACCTCTCGTGACGATATTGCTGAAATATTGCCGATGTGACATTAAATTTTAACTCAACTCACTCACTCACTAATATGGTTAAGTTAAGATTGCCAAGTTGCTCATGAGAAAGATTCATGTGGTTCAAGAACAATGCGTTTTCATTTTGCGTTTTAAACAAATCTCGAGAACCTGAAATGTAGAGAACCTGACCTCTTCTCACTTGATTCTGTGTGTCCTATACACAGCTGTGGCTTCTCTCCTGACTGTTTTCTTTACCACATGCAGGAAGTGACGAGATAAAGCGAGGCATTCTACTCATGTTGTTTGGTGGGGTGCCAAAAGTGACAACTGAAGGCACAAACCTCCGTGGGGACATCAATATCTGTGTTGTGGGTGACCCAAGTACCGCCAAGAGTCAGTTCCTGAAGCAAGTGGAAGACTTCAGCCCCCGCGCAGTGTACACCAGCGGGAAAGCCAGTAGTGCCGCCGGTCTCACAGCTGCAGTCGTCAAGGATGAGGAGTCACATGAGTTTGTGATCGAGGCTGGCGCCCTGATGCTGGCAGATAATGGCGTGTGTTGTATTGACGAGTTTGACAAGATGGACCCCAAGGATCAGGTGGCCATTCACGAGGCGATGGAACAACAGACCATCTCCATCACCAAGGCTGGAGTCAGGGTGAGGTTTAAACCAAACATTAAATCAGAAGTATTTGATGGGCTAGTTTTGTTTAACGCCACAGCAATTTTGACATATCCAGAGAAAATTAATATTAATCTTCAAGACTAAACAATCTGATGCTGTCACTACTCTGCTATTGTGACCGGAAGTTTCCACTCAGAATGTAATGTTGAGTGTTCTCTGTAGTTCATTATTCTCCATGTAATGTTGAGTGTTCTCTGTAGTTCATTATTCTCCAGGTAACGTTGAGTGTTCTCCATTTTTCGTTGTTCTGTGTGTTGCTATAATGTTGATTGGTTGCAGGCGACACTCAATGCAAGGACATCAATCTTAGCAGCAGCTAATCCCATTGGCGGCCGGTACGACCGGACTAAATCCCTGAAGCAGAACATCACCTTGACAGCCCCCATCATGTCAAGATTTGACCTTTTCTTCGTCCTCGTTGACGAGTGCAATGAGGTGAGATACAGTTGATAATACAGCCTAGCATACCATAATTTGAAGTAATACTTCCTATCACCACAACAGTTTAATGTCTGTGACCAATCCACCGCTTCGAATGAGGTGTTTTTTATATAGTAGCCAGGGTCACTCAGTAACTTAGCTAATGACAGTTGTATAGTGCCTACCTCTAGTCAGACTGCTCTCACTGGTTTGTACAGGAAAGTACAGTGAAAGTACGGAAAGCGTGCCATTAAAACTATTAAAACTATGCATAATCCATCTGTACTTAGTTCTGACCCATGAAGATCCAGGTTACAATTGGTCTTCAGAGACCCTTGCTCGTCATAAGAGGCGACTAACGGGTTCAGCTTCAGGCTTGCCGACTTGGTTGATGCATGTCATTGCAGCCGAATCAGGTAGATCGATGCTCATGGATTGTCTGGTCCTGACTCGATTATTTACAGAAGGATGTCATGAAGCTGGTATATTGTTGAGTGTGGTGTTAAACAACAAACAAACAAACAAAGTTGTCTGAAGCACGAGTTGTGTTAAGGTTGTGAACTGTTGTCTGATGCACGAGTTGTGTTAAGGTTGTGGACTACGCCATCGCACGTCGGATCGTGGACCTGCACAGTCACCTGGAAGAGTCAGTGGAGAGGGTGTACAGCGTGGAGGAGATCACACGCTACCTCATGTTTGCCCGACAGTTCAAGCCCAAGGTGAGGAGACCGTGTTCCTGGTGGCTTGTGATACTGCCAGTCCCGGTGGGAGTGGTGGCAAGTCTGAAACTTACCAGGCCCCCCCACCCCCCTATTTTTGCCAGTCCCAATTTTTACCCTGTTTTACTGTCTACATTCATGGCTGACAAATTCAATGACGTCATCACTGAAGTAACTTAAGTTCAGTCACAATTTTCTCTTTTCCCCCGGAATCTTGGGTTTGAAACTACTTTACTGATTACAGCCAATGTTTGTTCAACAACAAAGATTTTACGGTACTTCATTTGCTGGTCCAACAGGGACTGACAGTCACATGAATTCCTGGTCCAAGCCAAATTTTACCATCAGTCTCCATCCTTGCCAAACTAGGCTGGAATATTTTGGAGTTGGACTTGTTAGTCCAGCAAAAACTTATGTATAGTCCAATGAAAATTGCATAACAAAATTCAACATCTGGTTTGTAAGTAACACTGATTTCAACATGCAGATTTCGGTCCATTGTAGGATTTGCAAAGCATGTGTACTGTCAACTAGATATCAACAGATATTTTCCAAGTCTTGTAATGTTTTTAATCAAGGTGCTCAAGTGATTTCATGCACTTCACGAGGTATTAAGACTTGTTTTGTAACATTGTGAATCTCGAATATCGATCAGATCGTCTGACTGGGTGGTGCCATTTGGTTTGAAGCAAATGCAAGTAATCAGATTGGTCAGTAGGAGGGACATAACTCATAATAGCCACTAGTGGCACTGCGATCAAGCCACGAAACTCCAGTATAGTTTGGCAAGGTGGAAACTGGACTTCTATAGTCAGTTAACTCCATTGCCTTGGAAAGATGTCCCCCTACCCCCTGCACTTGTCATCTGCCGACCCACTGCTGTTCTCTGAATATACCTCCCTCCCCTGCACCTCATCTCCTGAACCTACTGCCCTTCTCTGAGTATGCCACCCTCCCTCTGCACATATTTGCGGAAAATCTGGTGCTGTTCTCTGAACCTGCCACCCTCCCTCTGCACATATTTGCCGGGCCCCTACTGCCCTTCTCTCAACATGACACTCTCCCTCTGCACTGTATATGTATTGGTCAGTTACATAAGAAACTATACATTGCTGTAATAGGTTTTGCTGCTGCTAACAATTTGAAATGTCTACCTCTGGAAATCCCTCCTGGGGTGATTTAGTGGCCAGAGTAATGACCAGGTGCTGTGTCCCCAGATCAACAAGGAGTCCCAGGAGTACATGATAGAGGAGTACAAGCGCTTGCGGCAGCGCGACGGCACGGGGGCGGCCAAGTCGGCGTGGAGGATCACCGTGAGGCAGCTGGAGAGTATGATCCGACTGTCGGAGGGCATGGCCAGGATGCACTGCCAAGACGAGGTACAACTAGCTGTTTCCTCTGTCGAGTGAAATCAGAAGTGAAAATTTTAATAGCCGATTATATTCTGTAAATGTTACAAACACAGTGAATTAGGGTTAATTTGTCCTCCAATCCACAAACTTATCTCAGCGCTATGATTGTCATAAGTCTATGTTAAAGTATGAGAGTTCCAATCATCTTAGCGCTAACAGACATTTCCATTGTACTCCATATATGTTGGTACAGTTAGTACATGTCTCACTCCCCCTGTCACCCCTCATGTCCAGGTGGGGGCACGGGTGGCCCAGTCGTCTAAGGCGCCGCGATTCGCTGTGCAGAGTTGCGTCCCTTGGGCACGCCAGAAACCTATGATTGTGGGTTCGAATCCCGGTTCGCCCCGATTATGTTTCTAGGTTTGTCAGCACCATACCCGTGCTCGTGGGTTACACCGAAGTGGTAAACGTCTAAGACCTGCGTCACTTTGGGCTTTCCTCCCACATTAAGCTGACACGCCGCGTTATAACTGGAATACTGTTAAAAGCGGCGTTAAACCCAACTCACTCACTCACTCATGTCCAGGTGCAGCCAAAGCATGTGAAGGAAGCGTTCCGGCTGCTGAACAAGTCCATCATCCGTGTCGAGCAGCCCGACATCCATCTGGAGGAGGAGCAGGCAGAGCAGGACATGGAGGTTGAAGGTACGTTGCAGACAGAATGAACGCTGAGACTAAGTGTGGTCTACACTTGAATGAATGGCCATCAGGTCGGTAGGGACCACAAAGCACATACCTCTTGTAATCCTCTAACTGTTGTAACTCACACTTTAACATGGATGTATAATCCTATTTGCAAGTGGACATGATTCTGTTTGTGTCTCATTGTGGTGCTGTTTATGTTTATTTAGGAATGGGTGCTTGTCCGTCCGTCCAACCGTCACATTTCGTTTCCAGAGTAGAACTCAAAAACCATGAGAGAGATCTTAACCATACTTGGCACATAGATAGGTCTAGTGGTTAACTGGTGCCTTTTGAAAGATTGGGATTTAAAAAAACAAATTTTTTCCAGTTTTCCATGGCTTCAAAAACTTCGAAAATGGCATCTTCCCGAGGCAAGGGAGTTAACTGACTTTAAAAGTCCAGTTTCCACCCTTGCTGAACTAGGCTGGCATTACGGAGTTACATTTTGGCTGAACTAACAAATCTATGCATAGTCCAATCAAAATCGCGCAACGAAATCAAAATCCAGTTGGTAAATTGTCATGCAGATTTTGGTCGATTGCAGTATTTGTAAAGCATTTGCACTGCCAACTTGTTGTCAACAGATATTTTCTAAATCTTTTCATGTTTTTAATCAAGGTGCTCGCATGATATGCACTTTGCAATGTAAGACTCGTTTTATCACAATGTAGATCTTGATTATTGATCAGATCGTCTTGACTGGGGCTGCCATTTTGTTTGAAGCAATGCAAGTGATACAAGAGGTTGAATGTGATAGGCATAGAAGGGGCATAACTCGTAATAGCCACTGGTGGCGCTACAATTGAGTCAAGGAATTCCCGCCTTGTTCCGCAAGTTTGGAAACTGGACTTTTATGATCAGTTAGGTCACTTGCCTCGGGAAGATGCCATTTTCGAAGTCGTTGGAAGCTGATGGAAGCCGATGGAAAATGGCGGTAGTGCTTGTTTCCGGAGCAGATCTTGAAAACCATACGATATTTCTTGAACACAACCAGACATGTCATATTGGTGGGGGATATGTGTATTTCATGCTTGTTGGACAGAATGAGAGTACTCCAATACCTCATTCAGCCTTTAGAATTGATTGATGTCAGGGTCAGGTAGTTGCAGTGTTTGACCAGCTGATTGAGTGTCATCGGCCCTTGAAGAGTTGATCATTGTTCATGCTGGCAGCGACTGGTTTATCTGACCCTGAAATGGGTGTTTTAATTATGTAACCAGAGAAAGGCATTGCCTGCTCCTTCAACTGGTGGTGACTTTTAAGTAACTTTTCCTTTACCCCGAACTGTCTTCCCTCCTCAGAGGAGTCTCAGCCTGTAAGTGAGGAGTCCACAACGCCAACGCCGGTGGAGCCGGCAGCGGCCCAGAAGAAGGGCCTGAAGCTGACGTACGAGGAGTACAAGCAGATGGCCAACCTCATGGTGCTGCAGATGAAACGCAAGGAGGAAGAAGAGGTTCCCACAGCAGGTGAGAGGCGGCAGAGTTATCTCCCCTGGATCCAAAGTCCGAGGAAGCTTTTTATAATCTGTAAACATCTGTGAAAGCACTGGACTGATTTACCCTATTTCTTTCATGTTCCCAAGGTAAGGGAGTTATCTGACTATAAAAGTGCTGTTCCCACCCATGCCAAACTAGGCTGGAGTTAGTTTTTGGCTGGACTAACGAGTCTATGCATAGTCACATCAAAATTGTGTGATAATGTCGACATCCATATTGTAAACTGCCATACAGAATTGCTTGCAGGATTTACAAAGCATGTGTACCGCCCAACTTGGAGTCAAAAATATTTTCCAAATCATTTAATGTTTTTGATCAAGGTGTTCAAGACCCGTTTCATTACAATATACTTCTCGATTGTTGATCAGATCATCCTGGCTGAGAGCCACCTTTGTATTTGAAGCAAATTTAAGTGATATTAGAGGTGAGGGACATAGAAGGGACATAACTTGTGGCACTACGAACGAGCCCAGACAATTCAGCCAGGTTCGGCAAGGGCGGAAACATGACTTTTACAGTCAGTTAACGCCCTTGCCTCTGGAAAATGTATATTCTGGTATGCAGTGAACACATTTTCTGTGCAAAAAGATAGACATATAACAACAAAATTACAGAATGCAAGTTATTGTATTGTCTACTTGAAGTCATAAAAACGTGTTCATGTACAAGACTGTGTGTGCACAGGTGGCGAGAGTGTTGGTCTGAGGAAGAGCGAGTTAATCAGCTGGTACCTGGCAGAGATGGAGGAAGAGATCGATTCGGAGGCTGAACTAATGGAGAAGAAAACTATAGCTGAGAAAGTTGTGGAGAGACTTGTGCATCATGTAAGTGGAAACATTTCATGGAAGCCATTCGCAAAAGTGGGGGAGGCTCTGTTCGGATTTGTATTCAGAACAGGAACACTGCATACATTTTCTTGCCAAACGGCATAATAAGGCCCTGTTTATTATTTTATTTAGTGGAAACCGGGAAGAGAGAGTGTTCTTGATTGTGATTCTTTTGTAATGAATACTTGTTTTGTAAACCGCTTTATAACAATACCTGAAACAAGAGACCCAGAAGTCTGGAGGGAAATATTTAGTTTCCAGATGGAAAACTAACCAGCAGAGCAAATGTTATTGTAAGATTGATAGTCCATAGGCCAGAAGGTTAGCATTGAACTATGGAGCTGCTTCCTGAAGTTTTGAACGGAACATTTGTTTTTGCAGGATCACGTTCTGATTGAGCTTACACAGACTGGGATGAAGCCCAAATCGAAGCACGACACACAGGCCCTGATCAGGGAGGAGGATCCCATCCTTGTGGTGCATCCCAACTATGTGGCCGACGTGTAGACGACTCCATGGATGGGGCGTGGACAGTCATTGAAAGTGCAACCAATTCTGAACATTGACTTGTGCAGGGATTAATTTGAGGCAGACGGTGCCGATTTGTGAGACTTTCACCCTTGGAATAGAGGGATGGAACTTGACAGGAAGTTGTAGATATGTTCCATAATGTACAGGTGGGCTCGTGTGAGCTGTGCATCTAGGAGTGCTCCCCGACAGCAAGGGTAGTGAGGGGATGTGAAGAAGATGGATCCAGCGACAGTTGCTCTCGATGTCTCAAGACAACATGGATTGTTCTTGAAGACTTTGTATATATCTGGCTCATGTTCATACAGATCATTTGCAATAAAATGGTCATTCAATATGTTCTGTGTCCTGTTGGATCAATGTTGTGTGTGAACGTCCTTTGACCCACATTGGAGGCTTTTTTCTTGTCTGGAGGTCAGTCATCCACGTTGGAGGCTGTTGTCTTGTGTGGACATCAATCATCCATGTTGGAGGTCAGTCATCCACGTTGGAGGCTGTTGTCCTGTGTTGACATCAATCATCCATGTTGGAGGTCAGTCATCCACGTTTGAGGCTGTTGTCCTGTGTTGACATCAATCATCCATGTTGGAGGTCAGTCATCCATGTTGGAGGCTGTTGTCTTGTGTGGCGGTCAGTCATCCACATTGGAGGCTGTTGTCTTGTGTGGACATCAATCATCCATGTTGGAGGTCAGTCATCCACGTTAGAGGCTGTTGTCTTGTGTGGACATCAATCATCCATGTTGGAGGTCAGTCATCCACATTGGAGGCTGTTGTCCTGTGTGGACATCAATCATCCTTGTTGGAGGTCAGTCATCCACATTGGAGGCTGTTGTCTTGTGTGGACATCAATCATCCATGTTGGAGGTCAGTCATCCACGTTAGAGGCTGTTGTCTTGTGTGGACATCAATCATCCATGTTGGAGGTCAGTCATCCACATTGGAGGCTGTTGTCTTGTGTGGACATCAATCATCCATGTTGGAGGTCAGTCATCCACATTGGAGGCTATTGTCCTGTGTGGACATCAATCATCCTTGTTGGAGGTCAGTCATCCATGTTGGAGGCTGTTGTCCTGTGTGGACATCAATCATCCACGTTAGAGGCTGTTGTCTTGTGTGGAGGTCAGTCATCCACGGAGGCTGTTTTCCTGTGTGGACGTCAATCATCCATGTTGGAGGTCAGTCATCCAAGTTGGAGGTTGTGGTCCTGCGTGCAGGTCAGTCATTCATGCTGAAGGCGGTTGTCTTATGGATAAGGGTAATTTGGTTATATTGCTTTAAGCGACTTCTTCACCGGAACTAAGAGATATCAACAATATTTGGTTGGAAGCATTCTCCAATGGTGAGGATTCAAAATTGTACAAATGGTGGGGCTGACCCCACAAGAGGCTAAGGGGTGGGGATCATTGTAACTGAAAACTCGCATCTTTCGTCCTACCGCTTACACCTGAATTTATTCAAGAGGTTCAAATCCGATTTTCTTTAGGGACTCCATGGCAGCTATATTGAAATATCTATTCATAAACATCAATGACTTTGTAAACTATTTCTGTGCAAAATGATGGTCTCAGGAACCTGAACTTTGAATGTTTTCGTTATGATGGCGTGTATGTTTTGTAAAAATCGTTAGATGTGGGGAGTTTTTCGTCAGTATTTATGCAAAATACATTTGAATATGAACGCTGACAAAATATTTTGCTAAGTGTGTCGTTGATATTTTATACCGATAACTACTTACCCAGAGTGATACCCTGCCGTGATATTGCTAAAAGCGGCCTAAAACAATACTCACTCACTCGCTTACCCTTGTTATCTACAGTGCGAGGTCAATCTGCATGATAATCATTCTATCATATCTGTTAAATGTTGTTTAGTTTGACTAAAATCAGAAGAAACATTTGCAAAAATGGCTTAGCATCTTCAGTTTATTGGATATGTACAAGCAGGACTATACATCTTGTCAATCGGTTTGGAAGCCATTGCTCTGTCCAGCAACACTGCTGCTCCACATCTCAACCGTAACCTTGTAGAAGTGATACACTCAGATCATTGATAAAAACATACTTACCTGTTGCTTACATGGGTTGCCATAACATTTCTGTCCGACACGTACTAATAACATACTGAAATCTGTTCTACACTGGTACTATTTACATAGGGACATCTGTGTTCTACACGTGGCACTTATTACATAGGGACATCAGTGTTCTACACGTGGCACTTATTACATAGGGAAATCTGTTCTACACGTGGCACTAGTTACATAGGGACATCTCTGTTCTACACGTGGCACTTATTACATAGGGACATCTCTGTTCTACACGTGACACTAGTTACATAGGGACATCTCTGTTCTACACGTGGCACTAATTACATAGGGAAATCTGTTCTACACGTGGTACTAATTACATAGGGACATCTGTGTTCTACACGTGGCACTAGTTACATAGGGACATCTCTGTTCTACACGTGGCTCTTATTACATAGGGACATCTCTGTCCTACACGTGGCACTAATTACATAGGGACATCTCTGTTCTACACGTGACACTAGTTACATAGGGACATCTCTGTTCTACACGTGGCTCTTATTACATAGGGACATCTGTTCTACACGTGGCACTAGTTACATAGGGACATCTCTGTTCTACACGTGGCACTTATTACATAGGGAAATCTGTTCTACACGTGGTGCTAATTACATAGGGACATCTGTGTTCTACACGTGGCACTAATTACATAGGGACATCTCTGTTCTACACGTGGCTCTAATTACATAGGGACATCTGTTCTAAACGTGGCACTAGTTACATAGGGACATCTCTGTTCTACACGTGGCACTTATTACATAGGGACATCTCTGTTCTACACGTGACACTAGTTACATAGGGACATCTCTGTTCTACACGTGGCACTTATTACATAGGGAAATCTGTTCTACAAGTGGCACTTATTACATAGGGAAATCTCTGTCCTACACGTGGCACTAATTACATAGGGAAATCTCTGTCCTACACGTGGCACTAATTACATAGGGACATCTCTGTTCTACATTTGGCACTAATTACATAGGGACATCTCTATTCTACATGTGGCACTAATTACATAGGGACATCTCTGTTCTATGCATGGTACTGTTCACAACCATACATCAACATGGAGCCAGATGGTTGAGTCAAGCTCATCAATGAACATAAAGTTTTGTCATCATTTTTCATTAGCAAAACTCTCATCCTCCTCATCGCCTTCGTCACGAGCAACATTGTCATCATCATCATCGTCGTTGGCGGGCAGGGCGTTCTCCGATACATCGCCGTCGAAGCCCCCCCAGCCTTCGGTCCTCGACTGGGTCGGACTCCGACCCATCCGTTCCGCCAGGAGCTTGTGGTCTTCACGATCCTCCTTCGACTGAAACAGAGAACACTTCAAGTTGCGTGGCTGTGTGTGGACAGTAACTGCATACCTGTGTCTGACCGCTAAGATCATCTTCCGGAGGTAAGGGCCTTAACTGACTATAAAAGTCCAGTTTCCTCCCTTGCCGAACCAGGCTGGAATTCCGGAGTTACAATCTGGCTGGACTTTGGCTTGCAACGTGCAGAATTCTGTCCACTGCAGGATTTGCGAAGCATGTGAACCGTCAACTGAGCGTCGACAGATTTTTTGCGAATCTTTTCATGTTTTTTTTAAATCAAGGTGCTCATTTGATCTGATGCACTTCGCGTTGTAAAACCTGTTTTATTACAATATAGATTTTGATTATCGATCTTGACTGATTGGTCAATAGAAGGGACATAACTCGTAATAACCACTGATGGCACTACGATCTTGGCTAGTTTTGCAAGGGTGGAAACTGGACTTTTATAGTAACTATAGTTGACTCCTTTGCCTCGGGAAGATGGCTTAGGTTTCTTATCATGAGACTTGTTCCCCTATTCACCTTGTAATCGTCTTTGATACAAGGGTAACCTACCGCTTCCCTGTATTAGTGGAAAGAGAGTCAGCCTGGAGGGCGGAAGGTCGGTGTTTCGATCCGAGGTGCGCCTCAAACCAAAAGATGTTAGAAGATGGTACTTGTTACCCTGACTGACGCTCGACATTAAAGCTCTCTACGCTACTGTCGAACCAGTTCGACAGAATTTGTCACTAGCCGTGTTGCTACTGCCTTGCTTTCCCCAGTGAGTGAGTATGGTTTTACGCCGCTTTAAGGAATATTCCTGTAATATCACGGCGGGGGACACCAGAAATGGGCTTCACACATTGTATCCATGGCGGGAATCGAACCGGGGTCTTCGGCGTGACGAGCGAACACTTTAACCACTAGGCTACCCGACCGCCCGGATCACATTTAGATGAATGCCTACATAGGTCTATAATAATGGAGAATAACAAGCCTATCAAATGGCGAGAATTACCACAAGGTATATATTATATCAGTGATGTCAAACCAACCAAATACGGTCATCAGTTCTTCCAATTTCGATGAATAATATACAGCCTGGTTTCCCAGTAAAATGAACGAAGAACTTGGTAAAAATGTTGAATATCACTTTGTTAAAAATAATGGTATGCTATCACTTTGATCGAAATAATGGTAAGCATGTGAGTAAAAATAATAGAGAATATGTTCATTACAATTTAGTTTAGTCTCATGGAATCACATAACCGTTTTTGCATAAAAAAAATCCCTCATGTGAGCCAGAACTGTCTTTGCCTATACTACTGTATACTGTAAACAACAGGCTGTATGTAACGGGTGGCCGTATTCAGTAACCATGATCAAATAACGCAGACATTGCTTTCTACTCCACCGAGGGGATACCGTTACTGTCGTATTATTGCGTAATATTCCACCATACGTTACTGTTGTATGCTTACCCCATAAGGATTGGAATACGTTGACCTGAAAAAAATAATAATAATGGTATTGATATTGACCTCAATATCTTTTGCATTTATGGCAGTATAAACGTTAAAAAAAGCTGGGCACAATGTGTAGATCCCCGTGGCAATGGAACTCACTTGTTTGTTTGTTGCTTTATGCCACATCCAGCAATATTCCAGCTATAATTATGACGATGGGCTGTAAATAATCGAGTCTAGACCAGACAACCAATTGATTGACACGATAAGCATCGATCTACGCAAGTTGGATTCACAGGAACTCGTTATTGGCCAGTAAATGAATATTTATCATCCAAAACTTGCTCCCACAGGAGATATCGCTTGGGTGAGATCTACATTGTAGATATTGCTGCAATGAAATTGCAGACCAAATGACATCACTCCTCTTCTACAGAAGCTGTTAGCAGTACTTTTTACACTTAAGATACAGCGTATTACTGTCTACAAACTGAAAAATTTGGAAGAATGATGTTGGATGATAAAAAAATCTCACCCTCGTGTCTTTTGATGTCAAATATATTACCACGGAGCCTCAAAGTTTTTCCACTTTTATCAACTCGTGTTGATATATTTGATATCAAATGACTCGAGGGTGAGATTCTCTATGTACCCCCTCTATGTAAGTAGTAGGTGGTATACATATTTATTTACTTACCAATAACGAGTTCATGTGGTTGGATTCGATGATGACACGCATGAACCACGTCAGCGAGCCCGACGACCCGATCCCGGGATCACTTGCAATTCATTTATTTCAAATTATACATGTACTAAAAATTATATGGTCAAGATGTATTGTATCAATTTCACTTAATGACACGCGCCCTCTTATGACGTACCTTCTGAGATACAAGACGAGGCCCAGCACGGCACTCGCAGCAACCAAGCCTGCTATGACCGCCCCTGCCAGCACCCCCGACGCACCGCTTCTGTCTGAAAGCAACAACGAATACGTTCACAACTTGTATTTCTGGGGGCCGCGTCATACAAAAAGACGTTAAAAGATTGTACTTGTTGTTACCCTGTCTGGCGCTCGGCATTAAGGGGCTAAAACAAGGACTGGTCGGCTCGGAGTCAGTATACTGTGTCTGAGTGGGGTATTCATGTTAAACTGCGGCATGGTATCTCAGTGAGCTAGCACTATAAATCGGCATCAGTCCGGACTAGTACAAGCAGCCACACACACACATACACGTGCATGCACGTCGCTATATAAGTGCAATAATCTTGGACGCGACGTTAAACCCAATTTCACCTCACCTCACCTGTATTTCTGGGTGAGAGGGTGTTGTTTTACGCCCCTTTGAATTTTGTTCCAGCAATATGACGGAAGGGGCCACAAGGAATACATTGTTGGCATCATCTTCCTGAGACCAGGGCACCGTTCCACAAAGCGATTTTAGCGCCATGATTGTCGTAAGCCAATGTTAAAGTATTGGAGTATGATCACCTTAGCGCTAAGAGGGCTTTGTGGACCTGGGCCAAGGGCGTTAGTGACTATATATACTTTTATAGTCAGCTGACGCCCTTGCCTCGGGAAGATGTGTTCCCATGTGGGGAATCGCACCTGAAAAACGAACATTTTAAGCACAAGGCTACTCCACTGCGCGCGTGTATTTCCTGTGGAAACACACAGAACTACATAAACACCACTCTACCTTATCTGGACGAACATTGGACAGGCTGCACCCACCTTCATCAGTCAAGTCGTTTTCATCCACCTCGACGTCACCGTCGTTCCCTGCAATGACATACACAATATCATACATGATGTGTGTCGTTCTTTCACCGAGACATCTCATCATGACTGTTTTACACTCAAATCGTAGCAAGACCCATCTACCGCCCAGATTCATCACGTACCTTCTGAAGTCGGCGGTTTGGTGGGAGGGGGTGTTGTTGGGCCATCGTTGATGCCCAGTTTGGTCAGTTCCTTGGCGGCATCGGGGTGTATCAGCAGGTAACCTGGTAGACACATCCATCACTTCAGTCAGTTACACAGGTACAACACTCATTTTGTACAGTCAGGTAAACAGGTACAACAATCACTTCAGTCAGTTACACAGGTACAACACTCACTTCAGTCAGTTACATAGGTACAACACTCACTTCAGTCAGTTACATAGGTACAACAATTACAAAGTAGCAGACTAACTTTTCCATCCTTGATTGAGGGCGTTGACTGGTCGATAGTCCTCTTGACTGAGGTGGTCTTTCTCGTTGTAGTGGCCTGCAACATCCCCCCAACAGGTACGTAACAAACATCACACCATTCACAGGATACTGTGCCTCTACAGTTAGACTGAAGCTACACATGGATGTTGACACGGATATACCTAATTCACGACCCGTGAAGATCCGGGTGGAATAGCAATGCTTGTAAGAGGCGACTAACTGGATCGGGTGGTCAGGCTCGCTGACTTGGTTGATGCTTGTCATCGTATCCCAATTGCGTGGATCGAGGCTCATAATGCCAATCACTGGATTGTCTGGTCCAGACTCGATTATTTACCGATCGCCGTCATATAGCTGGAATATTGCTGATTGCGGCGTTAAACAGCAAACAAACAAACAAACCTAATTCACAATCTACGATAACGTACATCACCCTACGGTAGATTGATGTGGACACAGATGTACCTAATTCACAATCTACGATAACGTACACCATCGTACAGTAGATGCATGTCAACAAATACGTGCTTGTATAACGTCAATTCTAATTAACGGAATTGACAGTCGCAAACTACCTATTGATAGTGCTTGGATAACGCATTTCTTCAGATGGCTTTGAAACACTTCTTGAATATGGTATCATGTGTTTAGAATGTTTGTGCATGACAAGTTTTCATGTTTTTTTAAATCAAGGTGCTCATTTGATCTGATACACTTCGCGTTGTAAAACCCGTTTTATTACAATATAGATTTTGATTATCGATCTTGACTGATTGGTCAATAGAAGGGACATAACTCGTAATAACCACTGATGGCACTACGATCTTGGCTAGTTTTGCAAGGGTGGAAACTGGACTTTTATAGTAACTATAGTTGACTCCTTTGCATCGGGAAGATGGCTTAGGTTTCTTATCACTGAACAAATTAAGATGCAAGACTTTATGAGACTTGTTCCCCTATTCACCTTGTAATCGCCTTTGATACAAGGGTAACCTACCGCTTCCCTGTATTAGTGGAAGAGAGTCAGCCTGGAGGGCGGAAGGTCGGTGTTTCGATCCGAGGTGCGCCTCAAACCAAAAGATGTTAGAAGATGGTACTTGTTACCCTGACTGACGCTCGACATTAAAGCTCTCTACGCTACTGTCGAACCAGTCCAGTCACTAGCCGTGTTGCTACTGCCTTGCTTTCCCCAGTGAGTGAGTATGGTTTTACACCTCTTTAAGGAATATTCCTGTAATATCACGGCGGGGGACACCAGAAATGGGCTTCACACATTGTACCCATGGCGGGAATCGAACCGAGGTCTTCGGCGTGACGAGCGAACACTTTAACCACTAGCCTACCCGACCGCCCGGATCACATTTAGATGAATGCCTACATAGGTCTATAATAATGGAGATTCTACCATGAATTTGGAATTTACTCGATTCTGATTGGTCAATCAGAGGCTATTAAATCACCATAAACCCCCTCTGATTGTAACAGCTGGTTTGACGACCGCATCACCGCGGAAGCTAATATTCATAGAATAGTACTATTTTCAGTCATGTCAGGCATATTTAAATAATTATATCTACAATTACAGGTTACAAAATGCACAGATGCGGTTACTACAGTATTCAAAGGATGTGTGGCAATACATTTCATGCAGAAAACACGTTAGAAATCTACAAAGGGAATGTATTTACGTTTTTGAGACAACTGGGCCTAGATTTTCGAAACGATCGTAGCCCTAAGATTATCGTAAAGTTATCGTAAGGAAATCGTAGGCTATCGTAGCCTATTTTCGAAACTATCGTAGCCCTAAGATATCTTAAGTTTGTCGTAAATATGAGATAGCTCTATACCTGTCGTAAGTTTATTTTATCTTCATCCAAGATGGCGGCATACTTTTCCATAGATATTGTGCCAAACAACTAGTCCGCTTTACGTTCAAACATTGACATTTAATTTTGTAAAACTGAGTGATTCAAATTGACAATTCGAAAACACGAAGAACGCATCAAGGATTTCACGTCAAAAATGTTCTTAATCGCGACAGCGATACACATAACTGTGGAGTCGATAGCTTACATTATTTGTCTATCCAAGTCCATGCTGAAGAAGTGTGAAACAACATACCTTTTCGATAATTTGGGAAGGATAAAAACGGAAGGTGTCGGCAGGCTACAGTAATGACCGTGACCTTATTGATAGTTTAGGGGTAGCTAATCTTAGTTCAAAGTCTAGTTGAGAGTGGTTTCCCTTTGTATTCGCCCGGGACACCTTGCTCAATGGTACAGTTTTCATAAACCGCAGAGTTCCGCTGTTATATTTTCTGAGTCGCATTTGAGTCAATGCTTTAGTCTTTATTTTCGCATTTTATAAAATTATATCAATCTACATATGTAAAAACAACCATAAAGGTTTCGCATAAGTTTTTACATCTAAAATCGTGTGGGACGGGTGGTTTTAATAATTGAATTTTAACTATACAGTAGTATTTATTGACTTAACAAGGAAATACATGTGATCAAATATTTGTATACAATATCTAATATTTTTCTTGCAAAAGTAATTGTAATTTGTTTCGTTTTAAATTCAATACCTACGTTATCTATATCCTCTTGAAAGACAAATATTTGATAAAAAGTGATTAAAAACTGTCTGTTGAATAATTGCATTCTTTAAAAGCAGGTGATTAACGGCATATAGATGTATTCCCTAATAAATATAACAATTTACTGAAATTTTGACAGCAAAAGTTAAGCACAGATTTTTGTATCGACAAATCAAATAAAAAATGAGTTCCCATGCTCGTTCTGGTTCTCGTCAAAATGTAGCATAGATTGCACATTGTCCAAAATTCACATTCAAATATATGTTCGCAGAAAAAAAGTTTATTGAATGAAATTTACTGATCAACATAAAATACACATTTTCAACACAATAATCTTTGCATTCAATAAACCGGTTTTAAAATATTTTGGTCTTTTTAATATTTAAGTCTACATCTTCCCGTTTTATGTTTTACAAAAATATAGATATCCTTGAGACCATTCAGACAATAAAATCGTTGTAACGTATAGGTTCAACGGACAAATACTAGTAAATGATCCTCAGCAATTCTGTCAGACAAGCCAAACATCATTGAACTACGTCCTGGAATAGATTTGACACATTACAAAGTATTTCGCTCCTAAGCCAGATTTAAATGAAATCAGACAAATCAGTTTATTAGCTCTACTTAATTTAAAGGATAGAAAATGACTACATTATATGAATGTTCACGTTAACTTGTGGCGTGTTCCATGAGACAACATAACTTGACATTCCTAAATTATCTCTCTTTGCGAACGAAAATTAGTGTCACTTTTAAATTTTGAAAATAATTATGGATCTAGATAGATAAAAAAATAATTTCATCATCTAAATACTAATAGCTTGATATTGTATTTAAGTCCTTGGTTTATTCGTGAAATATATTGGATACATAAGTAACAAAACAAACTTAACAAGCTTAGATTATCATATAAACTTGCTTGTGGGTGCGCTGCTTCCTGAACAATTTTTGTTTTGAGTGTTTCCACGTATAATGTTGGTGTTTACACTAATATAAACTTGACTTTTGACATAAACATAAAAATAAACAGTATACCAGACTTGAACACGCATGTTAAATGCTGAACGCATATGCAGCTGGGAAATCCCCGTGACGTCACTGGGAAACACCCCGCTTTTTCAATCTCTAACACAAATCAGTTCTCTGTCAGAGTTACGACAGGTATCGTAACTCTGAACGATCTGCGACAGGTTTACGATAGTTTCGAAAATCTATCTTATCTTAACCGATATCTTATCTTTGAACGTCAGTTGTTAAGATTTATCTTAGCTACGATCGTTTCGAAAATCTAGGCCCAGAAAGCTTGGAATTTTGGCGCTTTTCTGTTTACGACTGTGACGTCATATCTTTTGCGTCACAATGAGCGATATGACGTCATAATGGTGACGCGCGATGTAGAGCGAAAACCTTGCAAAGCTTGCCTTGTTTTCTTTAGGGATGCCCACCTCATGTTAGCTTACCAAGTTGCCGTGCTTATATGCTTTCAATGCCTGTCATATGTTCGAGTGAAGTATTACGGTGTCAACAAACTGCTTGAGTATATACAGCGCCATATTTTGTTCGGTGATTCCGTAATTCAGATCGATAACCCACTCAAAACACTGGATTCATCCCTTGCCGCTTCACTCAGTATGTTTGCTAACACCAAAAAGTTCGCGTTTTATTTAGTCATGGTAGAATGGAAATAAACATACTGTGTTTTCAATGTAGAGCTAGGTTACCTGTAGATTTAACCCTGCTAAATTGAATTTGGAACCGAACGTGCCATAGGCCATTTTGTCGATAAAGCCATGCGTAATTAAATGCAGCGAATCGGCTACTTATGGATAGGTAGGAATAGTGCAACATCGGTTGTGAATAAAAAGGGATGTTTTAGTGAATATATTATATCCGAACATGGTCTAAAATAATACGGTTATGTTCAACAAGAACTGATTATTCTCTACAGTTAAGCAAAGCCCTGACAAATGAAGCTCGGTATTATAAGCTAGAGGGCGCCACCTGTCAGCCAGACGTTGTAGGATGTCCCGTCTCTGGTCCCACAGGAGTCCTTCTTGTTCCCGCGGCACGGCGCTCTGCAGATGTCCCGCGTGTTCGTGAACTCCTTGGCGTCCTTGGGTAGCGCTGACACACACGTGCACCTCACGCCAGCCTGGGAATGAGAATAACTGGTTAGTGGACAACAACCTGAGAGTACTGGTTAGTGGACAACAACCTTAGATCGAATAACTGGTTAGTAGATAACAACCTGAGAATAACTGGTTAGTGGACAACAACCTGAGAATGTCTGGTTAGTGGACAACAACCTGAGAGTACTGGTTAGTCGACAACAACCTTAGAATAACTGGTTAGTGGACAACAACCTGAGAATAACTGGTTATTGGACAACAACCTGAGAATAACTGGTTAGTAGACAACAACCTGAGAATAACTGGTTAGTAGACAACAACCTGATAATAACTGGTTAGTGGACAACAGCCTGAGAATAACTGGTTAGTAGACAACAGCCTGAGAATGTCTGGTTAGTGGACATCAACCTGAGAATGTAGCGTCTCCCAGCCGAGCCCAGATCTGATTATCGAGCATTGTTTTAAGGGGGCGGGTGCAAAATTCAGAACTTCAGTTGAAGCCTGGTCACAATATCAACCACAGTCTCGATTATTTACAAGACACCGACATACAGCTGGAACAATCCTCATCTATTGTTATTGAAGTCATACGCGCAAAATCACCTGTAGTTGGAAGCGTTCTTAAAATCTCTAACAATGTTAAGACAACGTTTTCACATCAGCGAGAGAAAGATAAACTATATAACACGGTGTTGTTCACTTTGCTCAAACCTGACCTGCCTCTAATGGACGGTGACAGGCACCAGACACTATAATTTGATTTTCACATACTTTCTGTGTTGTTGAAAGGGGTGCACACCTCCACCCTGCCCCGCCCTAATTTCCACTCACCGAGAGCATGGCATAGATGAACTTGTAGTGGAAGCAGTGGACGACACACATCTCCTTTGACATGAGGTCCGTAGTGAAGGATAGGGAGCTGTGTGGCGTTACACTCACACACGGGCCCAAGTTGTCATCTGAAATGAGAAACAGTGGATGCACGCAGGTACCTGATGTATTCACGAAACAGTCCACCCATACCTGGTACTTTAGCAGCTACCAGCTGCGACCGTTAGACCAGCCACGTGGTCCTGTAGGGTACTTGTTTAATCATGGCACCTGATGTGAAATACCTTATAAAAAAATAGATAAAAAATTTAGCAGCTACAAGAGGCAATATCTTCTACTCACAGGCAGCCATTTCCCCAGTCATATTTGACTTGTTCCGGTTGAACACGACGCGGCTAGATGTGTACAGCTTGTGGAGCTTTTCCAAGTCCAGCTTCACCAGACCTGCAATACATCATCAGGGCACATGAGTGTGCGTGTGTGTGCGCGTGCGCGGTCCATGTAGACACCTATCTATGCAAAACATGTTTCCGTTACCGGGACTAACTAGTGAGCTGAGATCATAAATGCAAACTTATCTTTCGTCATTGTTTTCTTTATAAACACTATTTCACATGGCTAATCTCACCACCATCCACTCCTATAAGAAATAACCAGTTGTGAAGAGGTTGAAGTGCACGGTTGTCCGTGTGTGATCGATTTGACAATAACTGCAAATGATACAGTACTCGTTATAGCATGCTCTTTATCTCCCGGACTAGCATTTCAGTAAACCTACACTAACCCCTGGGACCATTCTCGTGGTTCCCCCATTCTCAAATTACCCCCCACCCCTTCATTTTCATTTGCCAATATGATTGGCTACGCTTCTTGTTAATGGGGTTGCAATATGAAAACTCCGTACAACAACAAGAAAGCGAATTTCATCTACCGTTACAAACCGTAACAAACCGAAAGCAAGGCGTCCTATAAAGGTATGATCCTAACAGCATCCCTGAGATTGGGGTAGGCTAGGCAACATGTTTACAGAAGAATCAAGGCCTCGGACAGCACGGATGGCAGAATACGTTGTTGGCGTCGTAGCGGCGAGCGGGATGCCAAGGCAACATGTTTTACCATGATCGGTATGGGGGCGGTATCACACACGATAGGCGAATTGATTTGGCTATTGTTAATGGACATTTGATGACTGGCCATAGACATGTTGACGGAATGTTTCTTCCTGTCGTTGTTCCATTCGCTAGAATTATCGGCAGAAATTCTGAACTGCAAGATAACAATGCAAGACCACATCGTGCCGCGGTCATTTCCGACGAGAAGGCGTAAGGACATTAGACTGATTCGCGGACATGTCCCCATAGAGCATCTGTGGGATGTTCTCGGACGGAGGGTGTGCGCCAGGGACCCAGAACCCGCTAATGTGGCCAGCTTGGGCAGCTCTACAGGCGGAATGGCGGCAATACCAATGGCAACCATACGTACGTTAATTAACACTATGCCATCAAGGTGTCGTGCATGTGTCGCCCAACATGGTGGACACACCAGATATTGATATACACGCCCGAAATTAATTTTACCGACATTTATCGTCATTACGCCTTCACTATAAGTTCATCAATTCCCTTTTGTCGGGTGTATATATTGTACGAAACACCGGAAATTGAGATGTCGTTAATTTCGAATGAAATCGAATGACATTGCGCAGATGCATAAAACATTGCAAAGGATCGTAACTTTCTACTCTACACGACTCTTCTGTTCCGCCTTCTCCATTACTATTACCTGTGAAAAAGACAGACGCCACCTTTTTGCCCCCGCAGACCTGTTTCTTTGAACCCGGACAGACGATGTTGCATTCGTTCTTGTCTACGACCTTGCTCTGGGTGTGAGAGCACATGCACTTCTTGCCGTTCTGAAAAAACAAGACACACCCTTAAACTACACCTAAGTGGGTAAACCTATACATTTGTTCCACCTCCACTGCCACATTGAGGGTCACGGGTGAGCAAATGGTCGAATCCGCAAGAGTTCAGTCCTTTAGTCGTGCCAGGATGCGCAGATAGTCAGGTCGCATCCCCTAGGAATAATGACCCGTGCTCGTGGTTTACTGAAGAGGTAAACGTGTTCGATCTGCATCACTTTGGGATTACCTCACACATTTGCAGGACCGCCGTGATGTGAATACTCTTCAAAGAGCGTTAGGGGGCACGGGTGGCCCAGTCGTCTAAGGCGCCGCGCCGCGATTCGCTGTGCAGAGTTGCGTCCCTTGGGCACGCCAGAAACCTATGATTGTTGGTTCGAATCCCGGCTCGCCCCAAATATGTTTCTAGGTTTGTCAGCACCATACCCGTGCTCGTGGGTTTCACCGAAGTGGTAAACGTCTGAGACCTGCATCACTTCGGGCTTTCCTCCCACATCAAGCTGACACGCCATGATATAACTGGAATACTGTTAAAAGCGGCGTTATACCAAACTCACTCACTCACTCACCCAAAGAGCGTTAACCCAACTTACTCACTAATCCCATTAGCACGTTCGCATCACCAACCTGGATTACAGCATACTTGTACTTTTTTTTCCAGCAGTTGACGACACACCACAACGCCGTCATGCCCCCCTCCGCCTTCACCGTGAACGTCGTCCCCTCCGGACTGCGGCATCCGAGATCCTGCACCTCTGAAAGAAATGAAATTCGTTCTTTCTGTCATGCCTTTGCTGTAGCAATGCATAATACATCTATAGTTCCATATGTCTGGAATATCTTGGAACAAGGGGGCATACCACCACGCTTTCTTCAATTCTAGTGCAGTCGGATTTAGACCCGTGAAGATCCGGGGTAGAATAGGTCTTCAGCAACCCATTCTTGCCGTAAGAGGCGACTAACGGGATCGGGTGGTCAGGCTTGCTGACTTGGTTGATGCTTGTCATCGTATCCCAATTGCGTGGATCGTATCCCAGTCGATGCTTATGATGTCATTAACTGGATTGTCCGGTCCAGACTCGATTATTTCATGTTCTCATGTTCTCGTCGGTATATGGCTGAAATAATGCCGATGCAACGTCAAATACTAACTCACTCACTCCTCGCTTTCTTCTCACTGCAGACCTCCAGCTGGAACAGGATAAGGCCGGGGTAAGGCCATGGTAAGGCCTTGATGTCATACAGAAATAGTTTGTAAAGTTTACTACCTTAGCGAATTTGGAAGATCCCGGTTAGAATGTTTGCAAGGAAAGATTCGGTACCAAAGATTCAAACATGAATGAACATGAATGTTTAAAAATATCTCACCATTAGATTCGTTTCTTGCTGACATTCCAAACAAATGTTCCACATTTTCATCAGTACCCAACGGCGTTGTCTGCGGCAGTATCAGAACTGCAATAAACACACAAATGAGTCTTTGAAAACAATACCCGTACGGTTTGTCGTCCATTTTTCTTTCATTGTTATGTGACGTCATGTAATGCCGGTGACATCATGTAATGCCGATGACGTCACTGAGGTTAATGACGTCATGTTTCTTGTGTCTCCAACCTTCGCTAGGCAACTAACTGCACACTAAGGACTGCGCAGTGATGACTTGGCATCTATCTCACGTTCGCCTATTTGCCACGTTCCATGCGGCCAGCACAGTACCTCTGCCACAAGCCAGCGTCATGTCCCTTCTTACACAGTCCATTCATGATATTGCACATGTATTCATTTGTTTAATTTTTGACGAGTCTACACATTAAGATAATCGTATGTCATAGAATTTGGAAAATGGGCCAAAACGTGAGAAATTTGTGTAGTTATCCTTTGTTTGAATTGGTTCTACGACTAATTGGTTATAAGGCCACTTTAATGTATAAAGATAAAATGCCATGCACCTCACTGCCGCAGTTGTAGTAGCATCATCATTATTATTATGCAAAAAAATATTTAATGTGCACCCATAGGCTTGGATAAGGCCAGTCTGTTCTTATTTCAGAATAAGCGCGTTTGTTTCGAACAAGAGAAAGGTCCGCAGTAGTGTTATGGCAAGTCACCACTGCGCCGGAGTCTGACTATTCCCGTCAAGCCTGTGAAAAATATATATGGCCTTCTGTTAGCAGATTGACTTGGCATGACACCACCACAGCCACAACCACTTTCAAAGTTATTTACAGATCATACTGCATACGGTATTCTACTTCATCTTTACAAATTTACCCTTGCACTAGATATCAAAGACCCAGATTCCAACGTTTAATGATATTTTCTCAAAGTTTACCATATGTTTATAGAATCTAGAAATGAGCAGACATTTCCAAAATAAAATGGACGAGAAATACACCGTCGAGCAAATGAAAATCTGCAATTAAAAATTGGACTTGACAAAAATATTACGAACGTTATCAAAACGTTACTCGGCTGAACGAAGTCGCCGAAACGATGCAACTTTAAGATCCAAAACACAACAATGGCACCTTATCAAATTCTTCATGATTACCATTTCTTGTTTGTTACATGTTTAGCCACCATCAAACAACATCTTCCCAAGGCAAGGGAGTTACCAGGGGCACCAGACAAAGGCTAGCGAGGTGTGACGATTCGTCGCACCAGAGACCATATACCGTTATCCTCATGAAGGGACCTCTTGTCACATCTTACGTACGCTCCACCAAATTACTAGTATATATATTTATATAACGGTATATGGTCTCTGGTGTGACGAATCGTCCATTTCATTTTCAAACAGTCTACTTATTTATATAAACATGACATGAAATGGTTAACTTCCATTGAGAAAATATCTTAAACCGCGAAAAACTATTGCGACATCCAAGTCCTATGGATAGCTAGCGATATGGTCACTTTGGTGTTGAAAGATATATTGTCATACTCTTCTATGTCACGTTGTAATAGCGTATTATATTATTATATCAGACAATCTGTAAATCATACTGAAAGACGTCCATGACGCCGGATTGCTCTGATTTCAGCATTGCGTACATCAGCCTATACTCATCCCCTTCTCAGCTATACCAGCCTATACTCATCCCCTTCTCAGCTATACCAGCCTATACTCATCCCCTTCTCAGCTCTATCAGCCTATACTCATCCCCTTCTCAGCTCTATCAGCCTATACTCATCCCCTTCTCAGCTCTATCAGCCTATACTCATCCCCTTCTCAGCTCTATCAGCCTATACTCATCCCCTTCTCAGCTCTATCAGCTATACTCATCCCCTTCTCAGCTCTATCAGCCTATACTCACCCCGTTCTCAGCTCTATCAGCCTATACTCATCCCCTTCTCAGCTCTATCAGCCTATACTCACCCCGTTCTCAGCTCTATCAGCCTATACGCATCTCCTTCTCAGCTCTATTAACGTATACTCATCCCATTCTCAACTCTGCGACTGAAATTATGAATTTGTTAAAATTATATTTGTTTAACCTTACACGTGACTATATTTTCATGAGATACGAGCTTCAGAGATTGCTTTGCTGTAAAACATTCAACGCGATAATTTGCATGTCACATGTAAACAAACGCATTCGAATTAAAATCAGATCGGCCTGTGTAGTTAGAGAATTCCATCTGAGTTTACAGATAGTTTTGCAGAAGTATGAACCAATCGCACCAGAATCGCGACAGTGAGCTTTACTATCTGTACTTACAAATCAAACAATCTCACCTCGTGCCTTCGTGCCGGATCCGCATTCCGCATGTGTAACCAGTCAGACAAAACCACTATAAGCACTTTATAAATGCGTCTCCTTGACAGAATATACACATCTGAATGTGGAGGAAAACTAAACACTGAAATGAATGATAAACGTTTTGAAATGCTGCATGGATCATGTATGAGGATTTCTTACACCAATCGATAGCAGTAGCAAGCAGTGGCCAGCAGTAGCCAGTAAGCCGTGACTAAGATCGATTGGTCACAATCACCAGATAAACCTATTCTGTGTTAACTTTTGTGGTTGTTCTTCGTTGATTAAACACCGCTTCGTGTCTTTAATGTAACATTTAGCGACGTTCAATCAACGGTGAACTACTCGAAATATGAAAGCCACTTCAAACAAGCATGAAATACTCATATCCCCCGCCAATATGACATGTCCGGTTGTGTGCGATGCATTAGCTCCTGTGAACTATGTTCACTGGGCCTTTTTGTAAATGGCCTAATTTGCAGCACTAAAAAAAGTTATAACTGGTGTTGTTTCCCATCTGCAGTTTATGATAGAATATGTAACTGTATTTGGAATGAGTAAGGATGAGACAAATTGACAAACAACTTCTTTATTACAATTAGGATCGATGATTTCGGTGTAGGTTTTAACACCGTTATCAAGCAAGTGAAGTACAGAGTATGGTTGACACGACTATATACAGGATAGGAGGCAGTGTTTATACAGTTGAGTAGGTTTAAGACCAGTTACACTGTTGTATTTGTAATGAGTTGTGTTTCTGCATAAAGTTAGTCAATGAATGCAACAACCGTGTCCATGACACTTTTGGAGGAACATACACACAAGCAATGCAGAACTTAGCAACAAGAATGGAAATGTATTCAATACTGCGAGATGACATTATGTGCCAAGTTTGGTGAAGAAATATGGCACGGTTTTCAAAATCTGCACCGGAAACGAAATGTGACGGACGGACGGACGGACGGCAACCATTCCTATGCCCCCCTTCCACTTCGTGGCGGGGGATAATAATGTTGTATCGATAGTCGTAGTAGATCAGACGACATGTTTGTTGATATGCCGGGGTCACCGTGTGCTAAATTATCCAATGCGATGTGAAGCTGCCCTACAATCAGAAATGGTTATCGCTCATTAACCACTTCAAAATTCACCAATCAGATTAGACCACTATTCAATGTCATAGTTGATTATGTGATCTGACTGATCTTGTGTCATCGTAATCGGCGCGAGACGTTGCTCATGCTATCAACCACTGGTTTGCATGTTCCTGATTCGTCATGATATAGCTTGTATGTTGTTGACTGCCGCATCACTCACTCTTGTTGACTCCCCATATGTCCCAGCAAAGGCCAGCAGGGCAATGATCTCGAGGCAGGGCGTCCACTATGACGGTTGACTTGTTGACTTGACTTTTTTGTTAACTTGTAGGTCGACGTCAGCAATTGTCCATCTATGTCTGAATGAAATGCTGTGTGTGTTTGTTTAACAATACTTTTAACAGTATTCAAGCTGTAGCACGGCGTGTCAGTTTAGACGTTAACCACTTTGGCACGGCACGGGTATGGTGCTGACAAACCTAGAAACATAAGCGAGGCGAAACGGTATTCGAACCCACGATCATAGGTTTCTGGACGCAACTACAACGCATTGCAGCGCTTTAGACTACTGGGCCACCTATGCCCTCCTTGGCACATGGACTTGTCGAGGCACCGAATCAAAAATGAAAAAGTGGATTCAAAACCAAAAGGTTATAAATGTATAGGATTTATTCATTTTTTCTTTTTCTTCTTTTTTTCCTTGGATCTGTCTGTGGCCTTATGTCGACTGTGCTTCTCCTTTTTGCCCGCGTCTTTTGACTTTCTATCTTTCTTAGGTTTCCCCTCGCCACGGAGTGATTTTTGTTTCTGTTAACATGAACAGCATTCCCGCCATTACTCATAGTTACCCGTTATTACTCACAGTTACATACCATTACTCATAGTTTACCGCCATTACTCACAGTTACCCACCATTACTCACAGTTACCCATCATTACTCACAATTACCCGCCATTACTCACAGTTACCCGCCATTACTCAGTTACCTACCATTACTCATAGTTACCCGCTATTACTCACAGTTACCTACCATTACTCATAGTTTACCGCCATTACTCACAGTTACCCACCATTACTCACAGTTACCCACCATTACTAACAATTACCCGCCATTACTCACAGTTACCCGCCATTACTCAGTTACCTACCATTACTCATAGTTTACCGCCATTACTCACAGTTACCTACCATTACTCACAGTTGCCTACCATTACTCACAGTTACCTACCATTACTCAGTTACCCATCATTACTCACAGTTACCTACCATTACTCACAGTTACCCACCATTAGTCACAGTTACCCGCCATTACTCACAGTTTACCACCATAACTCACAGTTACCGACCATTAGTCACATTTACCCGCCATTACTCACAGTTACCCATGATTACTCACAGCTACCCATGATTACTCACAGTTACCCATGATTACTCACAGTTACCCGCCATTACTCACAGTTACCCACCATTACTCACAGTTACCCACCATTACTCATAGTTTAACGCTATTACTCACAGTTACCTACCATTACTCATAGTTACCCACCATTACTCACAGCTTCCCGCCATTACTCACAGTTTAACGCCATTATTCACAGTTACCCACCATTACTCACAGTTACCCGCCATTGCTCACAGTTACCCACCATTACTCACAGTTACCCGCCATTGCTCACAGCTTCCCGCCATTACTCATAGTTTAACGCCATTATTCACAGTTACCCACCATTACTCACAGTTACCCGCCATTGCTCACAGTTACCCGCCATTACTCACAGTTACCTACCATTACTCAAAGTTTACCGCCATTATTCACAGTTGCCCACCATTACTCAGTTACCTACCATCACTCACAGTTACCCACCATTACTCACAGAAACCCGTAATTACTCACAGTTACCCGCCATTAGTCACAGTTACCCACCATTACTCACAGTTACCTACCATTACTCACAGTTACCTACCATTACTCACAGTTACCTACCATTTCTCACAGTTACCCACCATTACACACAGTAACCCGCCATTACTCAGTTACCCGCCATTAGTCACAGTTACCCACCATTACTCACAGTTACCCGCCATTACTCACAGAAACCCGTAATTACTCACAGTTACCCGCCATTAGTCACAGTTACCTACCATTACTCACAGTTACCCACCATTACTCACAGAAACCCGTAATTACTCACAGTTACCCGCCATTAGTCACAGTTACCCACCATTACTCACAGTTACCTACCATTACTCACAGTTACCTACCATTACTCACAGTTACCTACCATTTCTCACAGTTACCCACCATTACACACAGTAACCCGCCATTACTCAGTTACCCGCCATTAGTCACAGTTACCCACCATTACTCACAGTTACCCGCCATTACTCACAGTTACCTACCATTACTCACAGAAACCCGTAATTACTCACAGTTACCCGCCATTAGTCAGTTACCCGCCATTACTCATAGTTTACCGCCATTACTCACAGTTACCCGCCATTACTCACAGTTACCTACCATTACTCACAGTTACCTACCATTACTCACAGTTACCCACCACTACTCACAGTTACCCACCATTAGTCACAGTTACCCGCTATTACTCACAGTTACCAACCATTACTCAGTTACCCGCCATTACTCACAGTTACCCGCCATTACTCAGTTACCCACCATTACTCACAGTTACCAGCCATTACTCACAGTTACCAGCCATTACTCACAGTTACCCACCATTACTCACAGTTTACCGCCATTACTCATATTTTACCGCCATTACTCAAAGTTACCCGCCATTACTCACAGTTACCCGCCATTACTCACAGTTACCTGCCATTACTCAATGTTCACCGCCATTATTCACAGTTGCCCACCATTACTCACAGTTACCTACCATTACTCACAGTCACCTACCATTACTCACAGTTACCAACCATTACTCACAGAAACCCGCCATTACTCACAGTTACCCGCCATTAGTCACAGTTACCCACCATTACTCTCAGAAACCCGTAATTACTCACAGTTACCCGCCATTAGTCACAGTTACCCACCATTACTCACAGTTACCTACCATTACTCACAGTTACCTACCATTACTCACAGTTACCTACCATTTCTCACAGTTACCCACCATTACACACAGTAACCCGCCATTACTCAGTTACCCGCCATTACTCATAGTTTACCGCCATTACTCACAGTTACCCGCCATTACTCACAGTTACCTACCATTACTCACAGTTACCTACCATTACTCACAGTTACCTACCATTACTCACAGTTACCCACCACTACTCACAGTTACCCACCATTAGTCACAGTTACCCGCTATTACTCACAGTTACCAACCATTACTCAGTTACCCGCCATTACTCACAGTTACCCGCCATTACTCAGTTACCCACCATTACTCACAGTTACCAGCCATTACTCACAGTTACCAGCCATTACTCACAGTTACCCACCATTACTCACAGTTTACCGCCATTACTCATATTTTACCGCCATTACTCAAAGTTACCCGCCATTACTCACAGTTACCCGCCATTACTCACAGTTACCTGCCATTACTCAATGTTCACCGCCATTATTCACAGTTGCCCACCATTACTCACAGTTACCTACCATTACTCACAGTCACCTACCATTACTCACAGTTACCAACCATTACTCACAGAAACCCGTAATTACTCACAGTTACCCGCCATTAGTCACAGTTACCCACCATTACTCACAGTCACCCACCATTACTCACAGTTACCTACCATTACTCACAGTTACCCGCCATTACTCATAGTTTACCGCCATTACTCACAGTTACCCGCCATTACTCAGTTACCTACCATTACTCACAGTTTCCCACCATTATTCATAGTTACCCACCATTACTCACAGTTTCCCACCATTACTCACAGTTACCCACCATTAGTCACAGTTACCCGCCATTACTCACAGTTACCCATCATTACTCACAGTTACCCGCCATTACTCACAGTTACCCGCAATTACTCAGTTACCCACCATTACTCACAGTTACCAGCCATCACTCACAGTTACCAGCCATTACTCACAGTTACCCACCATTACTCACAGTTTACCGCCATTACTCATAGTTTACCGCCATTACTCACAGTTACCCGCCATTACTCACAGTTACCCGCCTTTACTCACAGTTACCCACCATTACTCACAGTTTACCGCCATTACTCACCGTTACCCACACTTACCAACCATTAATCACAGATACCCACAGATGCCGACAGCGTGGTTAATACTCACACAGTATTTTGAACAGAGGTCAATGTAGAGGTAATGCGGTAATCAAACCATCCTCACCTTGGACAATTCTTCCTTAATCCTTTTGCCTGCCGCCCCCCCGTCGCTGCCCTGTGGTATCTGATGAATCAATGGGACAGTTAAATCTCAACAACACTAATATTGGTGCAAACATGGATGCATTTGATTTTGGACGCAATGTAGTCTCGAAATTTCATTATAGACAGTCCAGGCCTCACTACTTGACCCGTGAAGATCCGGGTAGAATAGCAATGCTTGTCGTAGGAAGCGACTAATGGGATCGGGTGGTCAGGCTCGCAACCTGTGCTTGCTGTGAGAGGCAACTATGCTTGTCGTAAGAGGCGACTAACGGGACCAGGTTGGTCAAGATCGCTGACTTGGTTGATGCATGTCATCCTATCCCAATCGCGTGGATCGATGCTCATGGTGTCAGTCACTGGATTGTCTGGGCCAGACTCAATTATTAACAGACCGCCGCCATATAGCTGGAATACTGCTGAGTGCGGCTTTAAACAAACAAACACACAAACAAAACCTCACTGCCTCTGGACCTATACGTTATTGTCTGGAAGCATGACAAACTATATATTGTACGGCGTGGCCAAGACTATCTCAACCAAATTATAAAACTTACCTCTGTTTCCTTCTTACGCCTGAAACACAAAACATGAAAATACAGCAACACTAAATACTCTACGTATAAACATATAGTCATGTATTGAGCGGGGAATTACGAAGGTTGTTCTGAGTGATGCAGCGTGACCCAAATGTTCGCGAGATTATTGTCATTCGGGTAAACTGATGCCACGCAAGCAGCACGTGACTACTGAGTCGTGTCGCGTGACTCTTCGTCGGGTAATGACTTCAAGCTGAAGAAAACCTCCGCCGGTGAAGTCTCAAACATCTACATTACTTCAATGAAGAGGAGGTAGAGGAGGGCTTTCCTCCCACACGCCGTAAACCCAACTCACTCACTTAATTTAGTACAAAGGGCAAGAACAGTGACGTTTTTGACTGATACCTTCCTTTCTTCAAATGACAATGTGAAATACATACCTTTACCTATAACAGTTATAATCAAGATTCTTCGTTTACAGCAATGTTTTCAGGTCTGACTAGTTACTTAACTGGATGTCATCGTAACACGTAGATCAATTCCATGATGTCAAGGGGCGGTCAGGTAGCCTAGTGGTTAAAGCGTTCGCTCGTCACGCCGAAGACCTAGGTTCGATTCGCGACATGAGTACAATGTGTGAAGCCCATTTCTGGTGTCCCCCGCCGTGATATTACTGGAATATGGCTAAAAGCGGCGTAAAACCCAATCTCATTAAAATCAGATCTTAGTTTTCGCTATCGCTAAACAAAGCTTTGTTTAGCGGCAGCGACAACTCAGATCTGATTTTAATGAGATTGCGTAAAACCATATCCACTCATGATGTCAAGCACAAGATTGTCTTGTCCAAACTCGATTATTTACATACCGCCGTCATATAGCTGGGATATTGCTCGGCTCAGTGTAAAACAACAAGCTAAGTTACTGAACCATCGTTTCTTGACCGCATATATTATTCTGAGAATCAATGACCAATGCCTAAAACCAATTGTTTGCTATGGGATAATTCTAAAATAAAGTATACACTATATGCACAGGAGGTTAGCTTCTCGACAACCATCCTATTTACCTCATCCCTAATCTGTCTACTTGTTCGGTTGATGAGAAAAAAACCATACATTGTGTCAAAGAAGAGTGATTATCTTCTTGTATATTATTTACCGTTTGATGAAGATAACAAGAGCGACGACGAGCCCTATCAGCCCCACGCATGCGACGCCCGCGACGACTTTGGCGGTGGTATTATCATGTCCATCTGCAAAACGTCATACTTGTATTATTCTCTAATGACTGCTTCAGGCGAGTGCGAAACAAACAAACAAACAAACAAACAATATGTGTCCTGCGTCCACAACACCAGTATCTTCTACAGAACCGAGGTTATTGTATAACGCGAAGGCGACAAACACCACGTGTTTTCAACAGCCTCTGATTGGTTCAAAAAACGTTCCAGAGGGAACTACAAGAATACCTTCCCATCAACACTCACACTGCATTGAAATACATCTTAAATAAATAAATCATGCACACAAACACACGTTTTGGATTCAGTGGGAAATTCACTTCTGTTATTTTCTTTCAGAGCCAAATGACCGAGACAGAGTGACTGAGTTGGGTCTATCATCCAAAACTGGCTCCCACAGGCGATATCGCTTTGCAGACCATCGTGACGTCACTGGTTACCATGATGTCACAATCAAATGACATCACTTATGGATCTACTACTGAAGCTGTTAGCAGTACTTTTTACACTGAAGACACTGCTAATTATTGTCAACAAATTGAAAAAGTTGGAAGAATGATGTTGGATGATAAATAAAATCTCACCCGAGTGTCTTTTGATATCAAATATATCAACACTCGTTGATAAAAGTGCCAAAAATCCTCGGCAAGCCTCGGAATTTTTCCACTTTTATCAACTCGTGTTGATATATTTCATATCAAAAGACACTCGGGTGAGATTCTCTATTAATCGCCGCTTTGAACAGTATTCCAGTTATATCACGGCTTGAGTGGGAGGACAGCCCGAAGTGATGCAGGCCTAAAACGTTTACCACTTTGGTGAAACCCACGAGCATGGGTAAGGTTCTGACAAACCTAGAAACATAATCAGGGCGATTTGGGATTCGAACCCACAATCACAGGTTTCTGGCGTTACCAAGGGACGCAACTCTGCACTAGTTGTACCATGTGAATGCCCCTTGAGACGAGTGGGCCACCCGTGCCCCTGAGAAAGAATGAGGTACATCACTATTTTGTAAACGTGTATCATTAATTCATTATTAGTCTCATTGAAACGGAGAGCGTGGATTCTGACACAGACTGATCCATTAGATCTGCCGTATCTTGAATATATATTTCAAGTGTAACTGGCTTTCACCCATGAAGATCCGGGTTAGAACTGGTCTTTAGCAACTCATCAGGACCGGGGTCAGACTCGCTTACTTGGTTGATGCATGTCATCGCATCCCAATATTGCGTAGACAGATGTTTCCACTCCTATTTACAAAACCTTTGTCCAACGGGCTCATTGCACAATCTAATATAACCCAGAAAGGGCTTCACTGGGATAATGCCGGGCCCGCCTCTGTCCGCGACAGCCTCACCTTCGTCAACAACGACCACATCTGTGCCGGGAGTAGTACCTGGAGACAAGAAATAGGTTGTACAAGCACCCATATCATGAAAGAATACTGATATCGCCTCCTAGTCACGGTAACACCTCACACACGCTTATTTACAACATATCTGACAGATGCATATTGATCACATGTCACAGTCATCATAATTGATAAAACGCAACTGTCACGAATATCAATGACACTTCATAATCACCATTACTGAAAAAACACAATCACAAATAAACTTTTGTTTATTGTTTAACGCCGCACTCAACAATATTCACGTTGTATGACGTTGTATAGTGTGTGAATTACACCAATCAACGCGTGTGTGCTGTGTGGTGTGTGAGTCACGCCAATCAATGCATGTGAGCTGTGTGGTGTGTGAGTCACGCCAATCAACGCGTGTGAGCTGAGTGGTATGTGAGTCACGCCAATCAACGCGTGTGAGCTGTGTGGTGTGTGAGTCACGCCAATCAACGCGTGTGAGCTGTGTGGTGTGTGAGTCACGCCAATCAACGCGTGTGAGCTGTGTGGTATGTGAGTCACGCCAATCAACGCGTGTGAGCTGTGTGGTATGTGAGTCACGCCAATCAACGCGTGTGAGCTGTGTGGTATGTGAGTCACGCCAATCAACGCGTGTGAGCTGTGTGGTATGTGAGTCACGCCAATCAATGCATGTGAGCTGAGTGGTGTGTGAGTCACGCCAATTAGCGCGTGTGAGATGGGTGGTGTGTGAGTCACACCAATCAACGCGTGCGAGCTGTGTGGTGTGTGAGTCATGCCAATCAACGCGTGTGAGCTGTGTGGTGTGTGAGTTATGCCAATCAACGCGTGTGAGCTGCGTGGTGTGTGAGCTACCGCGATCAACGCGTGTGAGCTGTGTGATGTGTGAGTCACGCCAATCAACGCGTGTGAGCTGTGTGGTGTGTGAGCTACGGCGATCAACGCGTGTGAGCTGTGTGGTGTGTGAGCTACGGCGATCAACGCGTGTGAGCTGTGTGTTGTGTGAGTTACAGCGATCAACGCGTGTGAGCTGTGTGATGTGTGAGCTACGGCGATCAACGCGTGTGAGCTGTGTGGTGTGTGTTTCGCCAATCAACGCGTGTGAGCTGTGTGGTGTGTGAGTTACAGCGATCAACGCGTGTGAGCTGTGTGGTGTGTGAGTTACGGCGATCAACGCGTGTGAGCTGTGTGGTGTGTGAGTTACTGCGATCAACGCGTGTGAGCTGTGTGGTGTGTGAGTTACGGCGATCAACGCGTGTGAGCTGTGTGGTGTGTGAGTCATGCCAGTCTACGCGTGTGTGGTGTGTGAGTTACGGCGATCAACGCGTGTGAGCTGTGTGGTGTGTGTTTCGCCAATCAACGCGTGTGAGCTGTGTGGTGTGTGAGTTACGGCGATCAACGCGTGTGAGCTGTGAGGTGTGTGAGTTACGGCGATCAACGCGTGTGAGCTGTGTGGTGTGTGAGTTACGGCGATCAACGCGTGTGAGCTGTGTGGTGTGTGAGTTACGGCGATCAACGTGTGTGAGCTGTGTGGTGTGTGAGTTACGGCGATCAACGCGTGTGAGCTGTGTGGTGTGTGAGTTACGGCGATCAACGCGTGTGAGCTGTGTGGTGTATGAGTTACGGCGATCAACGCGTGTGAGCTGTGTGGTGTGTGAGTTACGGCGATCAACGCGTGTGAGCTGTGTGGTGTGTGAGTTACGGCGATCAACGCGTGTGAGCTGTGTGGTGTGTGAGTTACAGCGATCAACGCGTGTGAGCTGTGTGATGTGTGAGCTACGGCGATCAACGCGTGTGAGCTGTGTGGTGTGTGAGTTTCGCCGATCAACGCGTGTGAGCTGTGTGGTGTGTGAGTTACGGCGATCAACGCGTGTGAGCTGTGTGGTGTGTGAGTTACGGCGATCAACGTGTGTGAGCTGTGTGGTGTGTGAGTTACAGCGATCAACGCGTGTGAGCTGTGTGGTGTGTGAGTTACGGCGATCAACGCGTGTGAGCTGTGAGAGTTACGGCGATCAACGCGTGTGAGCTGTGTGGTGTGTGAGTTACGGCGATCAACGCGTGTGAGCTGTGTGGTGTGTGAGTTACGGCGTTCAACGTGTGTGAGCTGTGTGGTGTGTGAGTTACGGCGATCAACGCGTGTGAGCTGTGTGGTGTGTGAGTTACGGCGATCAACGCGTGTGAGCTGTGTGGTGTATGAGTTACGGCGATCAACGCGTGTGAGCTGTGTGGTGTGTGAGTTACGGCGATCAACGCGTGTGAGCTGTGTGGTGTGTGAGTTACGGCGATCAACGCATGTGAGCTGTGTGGTGTGTGAGTTTCGCCAATCAACGCGTGTGAGCTGTGTGGTGTGTGAGTTACGGCGATCAACGCGTGTGAGCTGTGTGGTGTGTGAGTTTCGCCAATCAACGCGTGTGAGCTGTGTGGTGTGTGAGTTACGGCGATCAACGAGTGTGAGCTGTGTGGTGTGTGAGCTACGGCGATCAACGCGTGTGAGCTGTGTGGTGTGTGAGTTTCGCCAATCAACGCGTGTGAGCTGTGTGGTGTGTGAGTAACGGCGATCAACGTGTGTGAGCTGTGTGATGTGTGAGTCACGCCAATCAACGCGTGTGAGCTATGTGGTGTGTGAGTTACGGCGATCAAAGCATGTGAGCTGTGTGGTGTGTGAGCTACAGCATTCAACGCGTGTGAGCTGTGTGGTGTGTGAGTCACGCCAATCAACGCGTGTGAGCTGTGTGGTGTGTGAGCTACGGCGATCAACGCGTGCGAGCTGTGTGGTGTGTGAGTTACGGCGATCAACGCGTGTGAGCTGTGTGGTTTGTCAGCTACAGCGATCAACGCGTGTGAGCTGTGTGATGTGTGAGTCACGCCAATCAACGCGTGTGAGCTGTGTGGTGTGTTAGTTACGGCGATCAAAGCATGTCAGATGTGTGGTGTGTGAGTTACGGCGATCAACGCGTGTGAGCTGTGTGGTGTGTGAGTTACGGCGATCAACGCGTGTGAGCTGTGTGGTGTGTGAGCTACGGCGATCAACGCGTGTGAGTTGTTTGATGTGTGAGTTTCGCCTATTGCGTGTTGCAGTAACTAGGCTAATAAGTCAGCACCTACTTGCAGGCGATCTCAAAATGATCCCATTCCCCTTTGCCACGCCCAGCAAGACTTCCTTATTCTTCAGGAAGTACTCTGGGAAGGAAAAGAGACACTGTATGTACACTGCGAGGAACCTGTCCTGCACATATGAACAGTAACCATATAGAACCAACCCACACTACACCCACACACTGTGATGAGCTTGTCCTGCACATATGAACAGTAACCATATAGAACCAACCCACACTACACCCACACACTGTGAGGAGCTTGTCCTTCACATATGAACACTAACCATACAGAACCACACAACACTACACCCACACACTGTGAGGAGCTTGTCCTGCACATATGAACAGTAACCATACAGAACCACACAACACTACACCCACACACTGTGAGGAGCTTGTCCTGCACATATGAACACTAACCATATAGAACCAACCACACTACACCCTCACAGTGTGAGGAGCTTGTCCAGCACATATGAACAGTAACCATACAGAACCACACAACACTACACCCACACACTGTGAGGAGCTTGTCCTGCACATATGAACAGTAACCATACAGAACCACACAACACTACACCCACACACTGTGAGGAGCTTGTCCTGCACATATGAACAGTAACCATATAGAACCAACCACACTACACCCTCACAGTGTGAGGAGCTTGTCCAGCACATATGAACAGTAACCATACAGAACCAATCACACTACACCCACACACTGTGAGGAGCTTGTCCTGCACATATGAACAGTAACCAGACAGAACCACACAACACTACACCCACACACTGTGAGGAGCTTGTCCAGCACATATGAACAGTAACCATTTAGAACCAACCACACTTCACCAACATACTGTGAGGAGCTTGTCCTGCACATATGAACAGTAACCATTTAGAACCAACCCACACTACACCCACACACTGTGAGGAGCTTGTCCAGCACATATGAACAGTAACCATTTAGAACCAACCACACTACACCCACACACTGTGAGGAGCGTGTCCTGCACATATGAACAGTAACCATACAGAACCAATCACACTACACCCACACACTGTGAGGAGCTTGTCCTGCACATATGAATAGTAACCATACAGAACCAACCCACACACTGTGAGGAGCTTGTCCTGCACAAATGAACAGTAACCATTTAGAACCAACCACACTACACCCACACACTGTGAGGAGCTTGTCCTTCACATATGAACAGTAACCATACAGAACCAATCACACTACACCCACACACTGTGAGGAGCTTGTCCTGCACATATGAACAGTAACCATACAGAACCAACCCACACTACACCCACACACTGTGAGGAGCTTGTCCTGCACATATGAACAGTTACCATACAGAACCACACCACACACTGTGAGGAGCTTGTCCTGCACATATGAACAGTAACCATACAGAACCAACCCACACTACACCCTCACAGTGCGAGGAGTTTTTCCTGCACATGGGTATGACAGGGTGGGTCAGGGTATGACTGGGTGGGTCAGGGTATGACAGGGTGGGTCAGGGTATGTCAGGGTGGGTCAGGGTATGACTAGGTGGGTCAGGGTATGACAGGGTTCGTCAGGGTATGACTGGGTGGGTCAGGGTATGACTGGGTGGGTCAGGGTATGACAGGGTTCGTCAGGGTATGACTGGGTGGGTCAGGGTATGACAGGGTTCGTCAGGGTATGACAGGGTGGGTCAGGGTATGACTGGGTGGGTCAGGGTATAACAGGGTGGGTCAGGGTATGACAGGGTTGGTCAGGGTATGACTGGGTGGGTCAGGGTATAACAGGGTGGGTCAGGGTATGACAGGGTGGGTCAGGGCATTACAGATAGGGTAGGTCAGACTATGACATGGTGGGTCAGGGTATGACAGGGTGGGTCAGGGTATGACAGGTTGGGTCAGGGTATGACAGGGTGGGTCAGGGTATGACAGGGTGGTTCAGGGTATGACTGGGTGGGTCAGGGTATGACAGGTTGGGTCAGTGTATGACAGTTAGGGTGGGTCAGGGTATGACAGAGTAGGTTAGGGTATGACAGGGTGGGTCAGGGCATTACAGTTCGGTTGGGTCAGGCTATGACAGTTAGGGTGGGTCAGGCTATGACAGGGTCGGTCAGGGTATGACAGTTAGGTTGGGTCAGGGTGAAGGTAGGATGGGTCAGGATGTGACGGTCCTCCTCGTTCAGAGAACTTAAGTACAGGTACTAATGGAAATAACAAACGTGCTTCCTACTCTTCCAGTGGCTTTCGAGAGCTGGCAGCTTCTTGAAGTCCTTCCTGCTGGCTTGGTCCTTGGAGTCGTAGTGACCTGCAAGAAAAAGTGGGTCACGTGATCCTCGGAGACGCACGCAATAGATCGCGGATTCGAGAAATATCAACCGAATGCAAACAAACATATCAGTTATATACCTGTGAGGTGGACGCTGTTGACGTTAATGGCGCCGCCGCAGATTTGTTTCCGGTTGCCTCCACACACTTTTGTACAGGAAGTCTTCTCGCCTCGTTCCAGAATCTTCTCCATGGTTTTACCTGACGACAGTACTTCCGGTGAGTCAGATGTACACTTGCAGTACGTGCTGAGCTGCGGAGTGACAGAGGAAGGGAGTGAGGCCAAAATAGAAGACATAGTGAGAGAGAGAATGTGTGAGGATAACGTGTTTGTAAACTTGAGAGGGCATAATGTAGCCGTAATTATATAGAAATGAGTTTATGTGCAGCGTAAGGAGTTTGTATCTCACAGTGAGCATGGCGTAGAAATATTTGCAGTTGTAAGGAGTTTGCGTCTCATGTTGAGCACGGCATAGAAATATGTGCACTGTAATTAGTTTGCGTCTCATCTTGAGCATGGCGTAGAAATATGTGCAGTGGAAGGAGTTTGTATCTCACCGTGGGCAAGGCGTAGAAATATGTGCAGTGTAAGGTGTTTTATGTCTGACCGTGAGCATGGCGTACAAATATGTGCAGTGTAAGGAGTTTGCGTCTCATGTTGAGCACGGCGTAGAAATATGTGCAGTGTAAGGAGTTTGCGTCTCACCGTGAGCATGGCGTAGAAGTATGTGCAGTGGAAGAAGTTTGTGTCTCACCGTGAGCATGGCGTAGAACTATGTGCACTGTAATTAGTTTGTGTCTCATCTTGAGCATGGCGTAGAAATATGTGCAGTGGAAGGAGTTTGTATCTCACCGTGGGCAAGGCGTAGAAATATGTGCAGTGTAAGGAGTTTGTGTCTGACCGTGAGCATGGCGTAGAAATATGTGCATTGTAAGGAGTTTGTATATCACCGTGAGCATGGCGTAGAAATATGTGCAGTGTAAGGAGTTTGCGTCTCATGTTCAGCACGGCGTAGAAATATGTGCAGTGTAAGGAGTTTGCGTCTCACCGTGAGCATGGCGTAGAAGTATGTGCAGTGTAAGGAGTTTGTATCTCAACGTGGGCATGGCGTAGAAATATGTGCAGTGTAAGGAGTTAGCGTCTCATCTTGAGCATGGCGTAGAAATATGTGCAGTGTAAGGAGTTTGCGTCTCATGTTGAGCACGGCGTAGAAATATGTGCAGTGTAAGGAGTTGCGTCTCATCTTGAGCATGGCGTAGAAATATGTGCACTGTAAGGAGTTTGTGTCTCACCATGAGCATGGCGTAGAAGTATGTGCAGTGTAAGGAGTTTGTGTCTCACCGTGAGCATGGCGTAGAAGTATGTGCAGTGGAAGGAGTTTGTATCTCACCGTGAGCAAGGCGTACACGTATTTGTAGTGGAAGCAGTGGACGACGCACATCTCGACGGTCATTATTTCTGAATCGATTGTCAAGGCCTTCTTCGGCTTCCACTGGATGCATTTGCCCTTGTCATCTGGGTGGGAAGAGGTGAGCTTACATGATGGTGAATGGAAAGGGTTCAGTAATGTTGATTTCACTTTCATTTTCTTCTTTTCGTTTCAAATTGCAGAGGAGTGAGTGAGTGAGTGAGTTTGGTTTTACGCCGCGTTTAGCAATATTCCAGCAATATCACGGCGGGGGATACCAGAAATGGACTTTAACCCGGGTCCTCGGCGTGACGAGCTAACGCTTTAACCACTAGGCTACCTGACTGCCCCAATTTGTAGAGGGAAATGCTTAGGTTACTGCAATGAGTCAGAACGTCATAGCAGCGCTTAATCTCAAGTCTCTGACCTTCTCTGAACAGAGGGCGCTTAGCTCTATTAACAATTGAGGAATATTGTTGAATAAGTCTTAAAAATATCGTATAAATAAGTCCATGCAAGGAACAAATTCAAGGAACATTGAAGTTTTAAGCATTTTAATATAGTTTCAGCTCTCTGGGCCGTGTTGGTTCTGAAAAGAAGATTCTGTAAATATATTCCGTTAAAAGCAACTATTTTTTTTATTGTGGTATCATGAACTTAGTTACTTTGTGGTGCTAGATGTTCTCATAATGTTTCAGATTCCTGTCAGCTGTTTTGGAAAAAAACACGAGCGGACAGACAATGTGCCATGCCAAAATATTACTTGGACCCCTTCGGTACAGGTGAGCTAAAGCCATCATTGACGCCGATGTCTGCCACACTAACATTTGGCCATGAGCTTCGTCCTCTGGCGTGCTCGCTTTTCTTTAAACTTCATAGCGTCGCTGTACATCTTCCCAAGACGTTTCCAGTTGAAGGATACAAATCCTGAAACAGACGCGTCGAGGAGTAAAGTAAACTGACACTTTTGTAGAATGCGAAAATATGAACTTGGGCTGCCGAAACTACACGTGCAATAAGGGTACATAAATGATACGAACGGCAGGTCAGACACTCACACTGATAAAAAACAAAAAAACAACGTCACGACTGACACACGAACAACGCGAGCGGGCCCTGGGTTGATACAGATTGAAGCCCCCTATGCCCACATTGCTAGATCTTTTAGTTGCTCCCGTGTTGCTGTAACTTACCAGATGCAACTCTACAGACAGACCGGGCAGACATCAGACAGACCAAGAACAGTCAGACCCTGGGTAACTACGCCTAATGAAGATGTCACAGTCAACCCACATGTACAGAAACAGTAGCCACGTGATAGCCCTACAACCCACCTGTATGGAGAACGAAGACCACGTGATAGCCCTACAACCCACCTGTATGGAGAACGAAGACCACGTGATAGCCCTACAACCCACCTGTATAGAGAACGTTGACCACGTGATAGCCCCCACAGTTCTGTGCCTTGGACGATGGGCAGGGGATGTTGCACTTGTTGCTGTCTACCTTGCTTCCCAGGACTTGAGAACAGAGGCAGTGGTCTCCTCGCTGAAACAAGTGACATCAGGCCGAACATCAATGTTGATAGATAGTTAAGTATACTCTTCAAAAGAAACGCAAAGCCAGATTTGTGTGAGGTGGAAAAATACATTTATACGAGGAACCGTACAATGTATTGCGCCAAAATGTTGTGGAGAGAACACTTGGTAATTGTAGTCATCTCAGTTATCGGTACATAGGAAGAGTCCAAGGTAAAAGTCAGTTACCATCAGTAACGCGTATGTCCCCCGTTGGAATCGATAGCGGCCTGACATCTCCTGCCCATGGAAGAGACGAGTATGCGAATCACATCCTTGGGAATGTTAGCCCACTCGGCCTGCAAGGCAAAAGCCAACTGCTGCAACGTCTGGGGCTGTGGTTGACGTCGGCGTAGCCGTCTATCCAATTCATCCCACATATGTTCTATCGGTTTCAAAGCCAGGGGAGAACATCTACGTTGTTGTTGTGTAGACAGGCTCTTGTGATCCGTGCTGCATGCGGTCTAGCGTTGTCCTGATGGAATACACCGTTGCCGTTGGCTGCAAGAGGGAGGACGTGTAGAAAAAGAATTTCGTTGATGTATCGTTGAGCCGTAAGATTGCCCTGGATATCGTCCAAACCTGTCCTGCCATGATGAGAGATATCCGCCCACAAACAAACAAAACATCATAACACTACCCCCACCAAACCTGTCCACTTCCTGTACGCAGTTTCCGGCGTAACGTTCTCCCCGACGTCTGTAGACCCGTGCTCTTCCAACCCCTCGACGGAGAACCAGACATCTCTCCATCGCAGTTTAGGCCATACCCAGTCGTTGTTGACGATGTTGTCGACTCAATATGACGGGTCGAACAGGACGTCTTGCTCGTAAATCTGCTGCTCTTAAACGGTTTCGTACGGTCTGGTCGGAGATTCTGCGCAGTCCTGGTATTTGGGATGAGGTTGAAGTGGCTGTGGTCACGTAGGTGGCGCAGTCGGATGTAGCGATCTTGTGTGGGTGGTTACTTTGGTCGTCCCGACCTTGGCCGATCACGTGTTGACCCTTGCTGTTGAAACCGACCCCACAGCCATGTGATGGTGTTGGGCGCTGCACTGAAAACCCTGGCTACAGCTGATCGGGATTCTCTTGCCTGCAAGCGGCTGATGGCGTTGTTTCTTTGCACTTCTGTTACATTATGCTGCTGCACATTCAGTGCGTGCAGCTCCATGGCCCTAATGCACTGGGTGCGGTTTTCCGAATTGTTCGTGTTTCCCGACTAATGGTTTGCGTGTCCTTGTGATCATTTTGAATCGGGAAATTTGTTACTGATTCTGTAACACATTAAACCTCTTCATTTTGCACCTCTTGGTCCGCTAAGTTTTCTTTTATGACAAAATAATTTCCGTATTGCGATTCTTTTTTTTTTGAAGCGTATACATGTATGTAGTGCCTTGTTTGATAATACTGAGCTAAACTATAGACGGCCATGTTAAGCATTGTTCTTGACGCATCGCTGTCCAAAACACTGAGGCAGCGGCATTATTAGTTGGTTGGTTTGGTTGGTTTGTTGTTTAACGCCGCACTCAGCAATATTCCAGCTATATGACGGCGGTCTGAAAATAGTCGAGTCTGGACCAGACAATCCAGTGATTGACGTCATGAGCATCGATCCACGCAATTGGGATCGATGACAAGCACCAACCAAGTCAGCGAGCCTGACCACCCGATCCCGTTAGTCGCCTTTTACGACAATCATAGTCACCTTTTACGGCAAGCATGGGTTGCTGAAGACCTTTTCTACCCAAGAATCTTCACGGGTCCATTATTAATTACGGTGCGTGCGTGCGTGCGTGCGTGCGTGCGTGCGTGAGTGCGTTAGTGCGTGCGAATTTCAAGTCACAAAGCTTGGCCACCCGAACAATTTCAGTCGCCTCTAACGACAGTCCGCGGGGTTGTACAATCAGTATCAAGATGCTTCATTTATAATTATTTTCAACTAAAATGTAACTTACTTTTACGAGAGAATATTTGAATTTATCTTTCCAGCACTGTTTTGCACACCATATGGACGACATGTACTTATGTTTTTTTACCAGAGTCGCGTTCTTGGCCTCACGACACCCTTCGTCTTTGACATCTGGAACACACAGCGCATCATACAGACAATGGCACATACAATGACACATACAATGACACATACAGTGGATCATACAGTGGCGCATACAATGGCTAACGACTGTTCCTTCCTTCAGCTTTGTTTGTTGTCTGACGCCGCACTCAACAATATTCCAGCTGTTTGACGACGATCTGTAAATACTCGAGTCTGGACCAGTGACTGACATCATGAGCATCGATCTGCGCAATTGTGATACGATTAAATGCATCAACCAAGTCGCCTAATACGACAAGCATGGGTTGCTGAAGACCACCCTCCTTTAGCATCACTACAGTGGGTGTAGGGCACAACCAGGTCTAATCTTCTTCGTTTTGATATAATTAAATTTCGTTGAAATTCCTGCATTCTGATTAGCTGAATTGGTCACGTGTTATTGCATTCATTTCCTACTCTCCTCCCTGGAGTTCCATGCGACCAGCATAGTACCTTTGCCACAGGCTAGCGCCATGTGACGATTCGTCACATCTTACGCGGTCCATTCAATATATTGTATGTTTTTCATCTGTTTCATTTTTGAAAAGTCTACATATCTAGATAAACATATGTCATTGAATGGTTAACTTTCATTGAGAAAATATCCTAATCCGTGAAAAACTATTTTCCATTTGCGTAGTTATCCTATGTTTACATTGGTTGTACGGCTCCACGTGTTGTCATGTGATGGTGTTGGGCGCTACACTGAAAACCCTGGAGAGCCTACGGAGAGCTAGCGATACGGTCGCTTTGATGTATCAATATGTATTGTCATGCAACTCACTGTCGCAGTTATAGTAGCATATTCATATAATAATGCAAAACAATACGTAAAGCGCCCCTAAATACTTGCATTAGTCCGTTCTATTCTGATTTCTGAAAAAGCTCGCTTGTTTACAAACAAGAGAAAAGTCCGGTCACGTGATATGCAAATTAGACTGTGGTAGTTATGCTAAGTCACCAATGCGCCGGAGTGTGTTCATTTCCCAATGAATGTAAAACATTAAGCCACGCCCAACGAGGCGCATTACTTTTATTACTGCGGAATATCTGGGAATGCCATTAGTCGAGGGAATTCCCTTTCCGCTCACGTGTATCGTCATGCACAGGACATTTAGCGACATTCATGCATATTCATTGTCCAAACTACCCAAGTCGCGCATTCATTTAGTTGGCTCTTCGGTTTTTCGATTCATACCTCATTGAACCGAAACAAATACACAGTCAATCCTTAGTATATCTTGTTACCAAAAGCGTGACGCATTAATACATTCGACGGCAGGAGCTTACCATTGGATTGTTTTGTGTCACATAGCTCCAGCAAATACTCTGGGTTCTCTCTGTATTCTTTCATATCACCCGTCCACTGACCAACCAAAATAAACAGCGTGTAAACTGCAAGGGTGAGCTTCATGTTTCTTTTGTCCGCCATTGCTCCACAACATACGTATGACGTCATTTGGTTTATGACGTCATTTTCGTTTCATTACGTAAAAATTTCACACGCGTCAGAACGCAGAACGTAAGTACAAGCCCATTTAGAATAGAGTATTGACTGATCATGAATTTGCTTTCTAGCGGACAACCTCGTCCTTTTACGTAAGCGTTCAGATAGAGGTTATCACGCGAGTGGGTTTGGGGATGGTAAATACCCTTTATTAAGAATACACATTGTGTTCATTATGTGTGCTTATGTTTTACATTGACTTATAAATACATTTGCGTAAATCCGACGCCGATTTACATTTTGGAAACCGGATTCTACGTTCAACCTACATGAACATTGAAGTCAATTCAGTAATTACAGCGTCTATTGTAGTCAGAGCTGGATATTATTATCAGTTTTAGTAAAATTCAGGGATGTATGCGGCTGAGTGTGAAACGTCCTGTAAACACTAGCACACAAATTGATTACTGCATTCTATCCGTTTATATCCGGGTCAAAATTCATCTTCAGCAGCCAACCCGGGCCATGCTTCCCACACCCCTTGAAGACCCGGGTTAGAATTGGTCTTCAGCAAACCATGCTTGTCGTGAGAGGCGACTAACAGCATAGTTTGGTCAGGTTCGCTGACTTGGTTGATGCACATCAACGTATCCAAATTGCCTATGTCAGTGTCAATCACTGGATTGTCTGGTCCAGACTCGAATATATATATAGGCGGGCCCATTCACAAAGCTGTCTTATCTAAGACAAATCTTAGCGACTTACGACAAAAATCACGCCTGCTATTCTATTCTAATCTATAACTGTTAGTTTACGACACTGGGCCTAGATTTTCGAAACGATCTTAGCTAAGATAAATCCTATCGTAACTCTGACAGAAAACTTATTTGTGTTAGAGGTTGAGAAAGCGGGGGTGTTTCCCAATGACGACATGGGGATTTCCAAACCGCCAGCAATAACAACATGGAGAAGTGACACGGAATTCATGATCACATTGTAAGGTCACACTGTTTTACACGGAACTATATTGTACGGTTTATTTGTATAAAATGTTTAACGCCGCACTCAGCAGTATTCCAGTTTGTGACAGAAGCAAGACGATAGTGAATTATATATTTTCAATGAATATTGCTAACAGTGACAATTTATATGTAGATAAAACGATTATGAGATGCTAGAAAGAGCAGTGATGTTTTATTATAAATAATACAATTTACTAAAGATATATAATATAATGTATATTCAGGTTCCATTCAACAACGAATTGATCCGATCGTTAACCACACTTTTGAGTTTACATCAAATACAAACAGCTTTTTCTTTTTACTCTGTACGCTTACAAAGAGAAATATTCCAGCCAGTGTAGTGGGAGTGAACTGTAATCATGGGACGTCAGTCAGAAAGACATATAACGTATGTTTGCAATCCATAACACTTCTGTTATGGCTTCTGTCAGTAACATAAGCTTGATTTTTTTCCTCTTATCATGAAATATAAATTCATTTATCATATAATGGGTAGGTTTCTCGGCCGGATAAAGCCAACGGATAAAAACGACATCCGTTGGGGTCATACGCGGATAGAGATGCAAATATCAAAGGTCAAGTAGGGACTACTGTTTATAAACAAACATGGCGTCGCCCTCGTCATTCGGCGATCGAGTCAGAATTAACCATCGTGAATCTGGATAAACTACATGGATAATTGCTATCATTATCAAAAGAACAGTCCAATATACTGAAAATCAGTGTCTAACTGTGACGTAGCTAAGGCATTTTATAAGTTTTGGCAACTTTGGAGATATAAATTTCGAAACAATTTTGCGAGGGCACGAGGCCTAGCCAAACGGGATTAGTAGCCACATCTGTGCTTGTAGACCTCTGCGGCTTGAAACCTTCTCCACCAATTAAAATAGTTGGATTTGGCCGAAATATGTTTGCATTGTTACCTTGTTTTGTTTTGTCGCTGTGTGTACATCTGACTACACTTCTTAACGTTATGACAGGACAGACCGACTGTCAACAACGTTTGACCGTGGCCGTGACGTCTCATAGACTAGGGTTAGAGTAGCTTCCCTTTGACAAAGGGCAGATACTCTAGCGGACAGACCGATGGATTGCCGCGGAAGGCAATTAAAAACAATTGTTGTTTTGCGTATATGTTGCTTCGCCACTTTATAGGAAACAGATTTCAGTTTGAACTATATTGGCTAGTGTCACAGTCCGACTGACACATCACTTATCCTGTGACGTAATAAATATTAATGCGCCCATTCCAGGAAAACTTGCATGTTTCGGTAATGTTTGCGAGAGAGGGAAAGCGATTTTGAAGCACAGAATTAAAGAATGACATTATATGATAAAGAGGTTATCACGCTTGTGTGTTTGGGGATGGTAAATATCCTGTATTAGGAATAAACACTATGTATTTAGCTCGCCAAGGCTCGCTAAATACAATGTTTATTCCTAATACAGGATATTTACCATCCCCAAACACACAAGCGTGATAACCTCTATGGATTAAATGTTCTCAGACTGCATACCATCCAAATATACATAAGCGACTATGTGCCCATTCAAATACGCTACATTTCAGTATTACCATCTATTATTGTACACCAAAGGGACACCACTCTTAGTCACAATCGGTATATACGATGTTTCTGTCGTGTTTTCTATGATCTGTTGTACATGTTTTGAAAGTGCAAGCGGAAACTACACGGTCTTGTAGTCGGACATAATACAGTAGACCCATATTGTCAAATCGTTTTCTTCAACATGCCGTCTTTTTACAGCTATTTAACCATCATTAGCTTCAAAGACAGGTCCGACCCTGTCTTAATTGTTGCTGCTTGCGGCGTTAAAAGAACAAACTACTGCCTTCGGTGTAAGGTATTTTCTTAAACAAGCTAAACGAATGTAGGTGATTATGTTTCTAGGTTTGTCACCACCATTTCCGCGCTAGTGAGGTTCACCAAAGTACTAAACGTCTGAGACCTGCATCACGTTCAGCTGACACGTCGTGATGGAACAAGAACATTGTTCAAAGCGGCGTAAATCTAAGTCACTCAATGACACTTTTTTCAGATGAAGGCAGATAGGTTCTGGGAGCCATGTGTCTGAGCACCTATATTTACGAGTCCACGGGCACGTTACACTAATGCAACACAACCATATAACTTCAAAAAACTGTTAATAAAAGTACAGGTATCAATCGGTTTATTTGGTAATAAGACCTCAGGCTCACGTACAGATATATACAATTTAGTTTCACATCAAGTGTTGCATGATATGATATTTACAGGTAAGAAGAACGAAGACAGATAGCATCTTAAACATAATTGGCTAAGTTCTCAAGACAGGTTACATTGGAAGAGTTTAACATTCTGACTAGTATGTCTTTACGATTATTACCAGTAATAAAGTCTAAATATGGGAAATATTTTGAGCGAATATCTTCATAAATAGGGCAAACAAGAACTAAATGAATTTCATTTTTAAATGCCCTTAACTTGCTCAATGGACAAAACCGGAGTGTATTATCGATGCCATCCCTCCTTCCCGTGTTGTGCATAATTCCCAGTTCTCCAATACGTAAAGGGGTAAGCGTGCGTCGTTTTTCTTTTGATTATACATTTAATAGATACGGTTCAAGTGGTAATGATGTCTTAAATAATGAATACAGTTCTCATTTCTCATCCAGACACTTCAGAATACCATGTTTGAACATGACAGTCCTCAGCCCTCAGAATAAACTCACTTATAAAATATTCAGGATCACCAGCACCTAAAAATTACCACACATGTCCGAAGCCATGATAATATAACATATTCTTAATAGCAGAAACCCATGTATTCCTACCAACGGCATCATACCTAACTAACATATCGTAACACCGTTTTGGAAATCTCTCTTGGGACATGTTAAGAAGCTTAAGCCAGTATCTTAAACATATTGTGTAAGAAACAATATAAATACCATATCGACCACATTCTCCGAGCACTGCAACATTTGTAGATTTGGAACTAATACCCAAACACCCCAAATCTCCGAACCATATAAAATAATAGGTTTGAATTGAGTCGAACATTTTAAACAACGCTTTAGGAGCTATATTTCGAAGTTTATAACCGAGCTGTTTTATAGGAATTAAACCTTTACTTGCTTTCAAAACTTATGTCGGAACTGTTCTCGGCCAACACAGCCTGCTTAAAAATATAATACCAAAATAACAGGTATAAAACAATACAGAATGAGAGATGAGTTGGTTAGTATACTGAGGAAGGAACTGATGCTTCGATAGGATTTTACTGCAGGCTCACTTGGTGTGAATCACTATATTTACTCTGGTAGCTGTGAATGACCGTGGAAGTTGTCCGGGGTCCGGGGGTTATCGTAACCAATGAGATGAAATATTTTTTGTGTCGCGTGAAGTGTTTAAACATTAGATCATTCAATATTTTTGATCGCATTGCTAATAATTTCAAAAAGCCGATATTTTTTTATACCGGATATTGAAGAGTTAGCTCCCTTGTACCACTATCCAGTGCTTGAGCGCGTGTCGGGAAATGTTTGTTGTTGAAGCCGCAGTCAGAACTATTCCAGCAATATTACTGTGGCATGTAAGTCATCGAGCCTGGACCAGAAAAACCAGTGATTGATAGTTACAGATCACCAAGGTTACCGTACATCGAATCTTCAGTGGTTCTCACTTTCTGCAGACCCAGGATTGATCCTTTCTATGATAAATACATAGCGTGATTTGCACATTTTAAGAATGCACTAAATATGTTTTACATGTTGGTTATTAAAATAAAAGGGAACATCTCACTTAACCCAGTAATAGACCTCATTTGACCAGCACTAAAGGCAGTACTAATTTGCACTTGACCAGCACTTATTGCACTAATATTCCCCACTTGATCAGCTCTTAATGCACTAATATTCCCCACTTGACGAGCACTTTATGCACTAATATTCCCCAATTGACCAGCACTTAATACTCTAATATTCCCCACT